GAAAATAACTTACCTGAAAATAGGTTCCTTTTTTGAAACAACGCCGATCTCCAGCTCCGACGATTTAAACTCAAGAGCCAATACGTGCGAGAGGCAACTGATTGCAGCTTCTATTGCATCGTCCAATGTGTAATTTTGCTGTTTTCTTAGCTGCAAATATAACTACCGCCTTTAATCAATTGGTAAATGTTGACTTATCTTTTGACTTTGAACAAAAACTGAGTTGCTTTTCAAAATACTCACATATTTCGAAAAGTGTTTGACACTTACTTTTTTCTCTAGGTAATTTTTCGCTTCCATTTGCTTAGTACCAACAGCGGCAGCTCTATGTCCTGAAACAAACCCACTAGGATCGGTTTTGTAAAGTTGAGGGCATCCAAGCTCTACGTCATACGCGATAGCCATCATAGAACAACCAAGAGGTCGCATTTCTGCTGACTGAGTATACACCTGGTTAATTTCACCAATCCGTCTTAAAAGTACATCACACGGTATTTCATAACTGTAGAATATTGAGTGTTAACAAAACAAACCCAAATTTGTATTTAAAATTAGCAGCTTCGTATCGAGCACGCTGAACTTGTGATCTACAGTCTGGCATCATCCCGGTCATGAGACATCCTATGTGAGGCGTCAAAGAGAAAAGTCTCGAGACTGAGGCACGTTCGATTAATTTATCCGGTAATTTGCATTGGCAGGCAACAACAGCACAATCCTCTCCACGGATACCAACAGACGTCAATCCATCAAGGCTGATGGCCTTAAAAGTGTACTCTAATGCTACTTAGAGCATTAAAGTTTGACAAACCAACTTGGAAAAGCCTTCCCTCTGGGGAAAATATGGTCATATATTGATCAAAACCACTAGTACTCGCGGCAGCCATGCCCAACTGATGACCAGCAGAGTCCAACACAATACGCGGTCTCTTGCGTAAGAGTTCAAACAAAAAAATCAGCATCTAAAATGTTTTTGCAATTTTTTAAAATTATAATAAATTTTGTATAAAAAATATTTTATAAAAAGTTTATTTATAAAAAAATAATTTTTTTGTTTTTTTGTTATGTTACATTAGGCATCGCATTTGATTTTGATACGCGTGCAGCTTCAGACATTTGTGTGATTCAATCACCTTGGTTTTGCTGGCGCGAGTTGTTTATTACGTGTTTGCTAAGCTTTTGGCATGGATCGTATTGCGCGAATGCATATTCAATCTTTTGACTTTATGCTAAAAAGTTGCATAAAAAGAATGGTGAAAGTATGTTTGTACACTCCTGATCATGTTTCAGTACCTGCAACCTGTATACATAACTACCCCAGATGGTGATGAGTTTTCTGTGCAAGTTGAAGTTCGTTTCAGATTCAGTAAATTTCCTCTAATAGTTAGTCGAAGTTGGTCACCCGCGAGGGTCAGATTGTGAGGATTTTATTGTTTACCCTCATGAGGTGTGACATCTTATAAAATCATACGCTTTAGTGTCGGCGAACGGGTCAAACGTATGGCGGTAACCTCGCGATTTCCATAAAAATTCGCCGGAATGGTTGTGACATGGGTATCGTTGAAGTTAACGGTGGTGAGGTTCCAATCATGGTATTGTCTAGTGCGTGCAACCTCTCGAAGATGCCGCGTTCTGATTTCCCTAAACACAATGAGGAAGAACGCGAATTGGGTGGCTATTTCATTGTCAATGGAAATGAAAGGCTTCTTAGGTTGCTTATAATGGCTCGCAGGAATTATGTGGGTGTGCTAATTACGTATTTTTACTTTTAGCCGCTTGCTATAGCTAGGTCGTCATTCAAAAAACGAGGTTCGGGTTATACGGAATACGCCATCTTAATGCGTTGTGTGCGAGATGATGAACACTCTGCGGTAAACGCGTGTTCAGTTTGGTCATTTTAAGTCTTTTGCAAATCACAAACTGTTGGAACTTCCCTTTTTAAATTAAGCCGGTCATACTTCATTGGGTCATGAATGGGGAACCTACTCTGGCATTTACAGTTGAAAACGAACAACTATTTGTCCCTATTTCAATCCTCTTGCGTGCTCTTATGGACAAAACTGAGCTTGAAATCTATGAAGATATTCGGCGTGGTGGTGGGGATTCTTTATCACTTGATGAGTATGTTTAAGCACATGGAGATCTGTTCACCTAATCATTATCACTAAACTTCCCCTTTGTTTAGGCATGCGATGAGGATTCTGATGAGATTATCGGAAGGCAACTGTAATAGCCAATCTCGTGCTCTTTGCTACTTGGGGAAACTTTTTCGCCTCAAAATGCACCTGCCGAATTCTTACGCCGACTGCGCTGCCGGCGAGCATCTAATGAGGTACAATTAATACCTTTATCACATGATCTGAATGCGCTGAATCACTGAGGCTAATTTCCAACCTTTTAGAGAATTCGTCTTAATTCACGCTGACAGTTTCTCGGACAAATATCACATACTTTGGTACGTCGTATTATGGTGTCTACATTCAACTTCTACTCCATACTATTTTTTGTGTGTTCTTTTAGCTACATGATACGCAAGCTTCATGCTTTCGTTTCGGGTGCATGTTGTGCGGAGAGCAATGATAATCTGATGTTTCAGGAAATATTACTTCCTGGCACAACGTACGTCCAAATTCTTCGGGTGGGTTATTGCTTGGCTATTACGTTAGTGAGTAGTAAGTGTCACTGCCTAATGTCGTTTTCCCTTTGTAGAATAGACTAATAACCTACTTACACACCGTGCGTGAGCAACTTAGTTTACAACTACGCAAGACGAAATCTCTTGAAATAGGTTAGTTAGGTTAGCGTAAGCTGTGAGAGTGCTCTGTCGGTATGCCGCAAGCGCATGCCCTTTTATGACAGCCTATTTTGTTTACAGCAAACTTTCGCCAAATTTTGAGTCGTAACGTCGTGGAGATCAGCGGCGGATTAAAATTCTTTATATCCACTGGCAACTTACCTGGCTCCTCGCGCACAGTTCTAGGTCGACTGTTGAATGGGCAGACTTCGGGTCTTTCAGTCCCGGTTGATACGGTTAACTTTTTACGCTTTGCTGCACAGTTTCGTTCCGTACACCGCGGTGCTATGTTTAGTGAAATGCGAACCACATCTGTGCGGCGTCTCTTACCAGAGGCTTGGGGCTTCATCTGCCCTGTTCACACACCTGATGGTGCGCCATGCGGTCTTCTCAACCACCTTGCAGATTGTACTGAAGTGAGTTGTCTATCGGGTTTTAGCTTCAGCAACAAGTTCTGTTTTAAACATCCTCTCATCTATTTTACATTGCCTTTCTCGCGTTTCATGTTGTAATTTGTCATCGATTTAGGCTGTATGTGTGGCCCCCAGTCAGGCATTGGTGAACAAATTTGCGGTCTGGCTGTTGGAACACAACCTGCGACCGGTGGAGCTCTCACGCCAAATGACGGGTGTGAGTGAACATCGCGGTGTCTTCCCCGTCCTCCTAGATGGTCGTTTAGTTGGCTGGTCACCCTCCAGCCTAGCCGCCCAGCGGTTGGCTCGAGAGTTGCGCTGTGCCAAACTGGACCCGAATTGTCCCCACGTTCCCAACACTTTGGAGATCTGCTTGGTAGACCCTACTGACACTGGTAGTCAGTATCCCGGTCTATTTCTCTTTGTTGGTGGTTCGCGCCTGCTCCGGCCTGTGAAGAGTCTCGTTCGGGTTGGCTCGGAGAACATTGATAAAGCAGAAATCGAAATGGTTGGCACTTTTGAGCAGCCATACATGGACATTGCGGTAACGGTCGAAGAACTCATGGACCGGCCAGTCAATGAGAGAATGCACTTTGAAGTGTCACCAGAGTCCATCTTCAGCTTTGTCGCCGGTCTCACACCATATCCTGACTTTAATCAAGTAGTTGACCATCAACAACATACTTGTGTCCACGTGAAGAAGTATTTTAAACACAGGCGCATAGTTCCATATCGTTGAAATAAGTCATTTGCTACTCCTTTTTAGTCTCCGCGCAACATGTACCAATGTCAGATGGCCAAACAGACTATGGGCCATTCGTCTTACACCTGGAAGTATCGTTCAGATCCCAAAGCCTATCGCTTACTCAGCCCGCAGAGCCCGCTGGTGCGAACTAAAACCTATGCCAAATACGATATGGACCATTATCCTCTTGGATTCAACGCCATCGTTGCTGTTATGTCTTACACAGTGAGCGCAGGATTATTTCGCGAAATCGTTATTGATATGGCCCATTATGAGCTTCCATTTGCATCTCTAACACATTCTTCAAATGCTTGTTCAAGTGTTTTTTATAGGGTTATGATATGGAGGATGCTATGGTAATCAACAAAAGTTCTTACGAGCGTGGCTTTGCAGACGCATGTATTTACAAATCCGAAACCATAGATTTGGCCAGGTTCTCTACCAAAGTGAAAGGGAAAAAACAAGCTGAGCACTATTTTGGTTCGTACTGCTATTTCCTATTCCCTCCTCTAGACCTACTTGTCATCAGTATTACTCATGGTTTTTCTTTAGGTGGGTTGAATAACCTTCCTCCGAACATTGATATTGATGGTTTTCCGCCAATTGGGGCGCGCCTTATACCAGGAAAAAGTGTTTTATATGTCTACACGCACTGTGAGACGATGGAGATGACCTCTGTCCGCTACAAGGACGGGGAGCAAACCGCATATGTGGAAGCAATATCTCTTAATGGCAGTTGGAGCAAGGCAAGGGGCAAGATTTCTTATCTATATAACAGCGTTGCTTTTGATGTCAATAGTCGACTTCTATCTGATCACCAGTATTCTGAAGCTTTCACTAGTATTCCGGTTTTTACATTGAGTAGGGAGTAACGACCTTGTTGGTTCGTTTTATTTACAGGCTTGCATAACGCTGCGTTTGCCACGGCGTCCGGACATCGGTGACAAATACAGTAGCCGCCATGGTCAGAAAGGCATTAATAGTATCCTCCTGCCTGCTGATGACATGCCCTGGACCGTGGAGGGTGGGATTGTGCCGGATCTGATATTCAATCCCCACGGTTTTCCAACGCGTATGACAATGGGCATGATGATCGAATTCCTAGCTGGCAAATCGGCTGCCTTGACTGGTTAGTGTAGTGATGTGTTCGGATATGCGGAATTCAACCCATCAAAAGAATTAGTACTCCAATTTTTATCCATTGCACTGTTCAGGTGAGTGGGTTGACGCGACACCCTTCCAGTGGACTGAAGAAAATCCGCCTTTTGAAAAGTACGCTGATCAGCTGAAGAATGCCGGCTTCAACTACTGGGGCACGGAAGCTATGATGTCAGGAGTTACTGGTTCCCTTTTGGAAGCTCACATCTTCATTGGAGTTGTTTACTACCAGCGCTTGCGTCATATGGTGGCAGACAAGTATCAGGTTCGTATCGATTCTCTCGTTTTCGCCATTCACGATGACCTCATTCAGGGCCCAAAAATTACTTTCGATATTTGAACAGATGAGACCATTCTTATTCGATTTAACACAATTCTGTCTGTTTTTTTTTGTGAGGTGGTTTATAAACGAAATTGCTTCAAATGGCTATAGGTGAGATCTGAGGGTCGATTTGATGCTATGCTTCGCCAACCTATAAAGGGGCGCAAGGTCGGTGGGGGCATCCGTCTTGGTGAAATGGAACGTGATTGCGTCCTCTCCCATGGGCTATCATTCACACTCCAGGATCGACTTTTGGGATCCAATTGCGACAAAGTGAAGGTTATTTGAGTCGGTTTGGCTATAGTATTTTATGCTCCTAGAGGTCCGGTCGATGGGATTATATAGCCTTACATCAAGGCTGTTGCATGGATGTTTAATGTATTACTGTATGATTGCCGTTCTAAGGTAGCTATATCATTGTACTGCCGATACACTGTTGATTAATTCTATGTGACATTTATACTATCCTGGGTAAAAACCATGAAACATTGAATATGACCTTGCCTCAATGTAGAACGGTTGATACTGGCAATAGCAACAAAAACCTGTTACCATATTGGATTTTCAAGCGTTCAAAAAGTACTATAAAACTTAGGTATCTTTACCAATTTTGGCGTTTGAGTTCCGGGTGAGTCTGAATTAGAGCCTGTAGCCTCCTACTCAAAAATGAGAAGAGCACTCTTCTATTATTTTCCGTTGGAAACGGGTTAGTTTTATTGTTGTGGTGCTGTCTTTTTAGATGTTGATATGCTCAGATTGCGGTGGTTTGATTCACGAAGACTTGATCACCGATGAAAATACAGGTGTCCAACAGCGAGGAATCAGTCTTACCAAAAGGTTTCGCTGGCGATGCCGTCTTTGCAACCCATCATCCTCTCCCAACGCAGCGAACTCCCTCGAGAATAGGATGCTCCTTGTCGACGTTCCCGCGGCTTTTCGCTACCTGACCTACGAACTTGCCTGTCTTAATGTTCATACGCGGATCGAAGTGAAGCAATTCACCTAAGACTCTTGTGTACTATTGATTAGAACATATTCGTGTTTATTTCATTTATATAAATCAAGTAGGGGTCTCCTTTCCTCTCAGAAATTATAAATGTCAAGGCAAATTGGGGAAGGCATTGATGATAACTAATTCTGTTTTGTGCGCTGTGGTCGTTTGTGACAATTTTTTTAAATAACCAGAGTTAAAATTTCAATATTTACTTGATTGATTGATAGGAATTGCTGAGATTGTACATTAATTAATGTTCTGGTAGAAAAGGGAACGGGCTATGGCGTTCATGAGCACGTTCTCCCTATGCCGGTGTGGCGTGTGCTGCTCTCTTTTCGCCCAGCCAGGTGTTAAGTGCCTTGACCAAACAGAGTGGCGCAGGCGCTGGCCCTCGCAGGTGGGCGAAGTCGCTGTAATGAGGAGGTCCTGTCCACAGCAAAGAGCAGCAATGAACTTTTGCGAGCTAAACGTAAGGAATTAACAAACTTGTAGTGGTGTAGAGGTCCGCGGGATCCCAGCGATTGGGTAATTTTGTGGCACGGGGACAGCAGTGCTTACCGGTCGTATAATGGAGAAGGCATCTGGAAGGGATTTGTAGGCGAAAAACGTGGCTTCTCCGTCTGTTGAATTAGAGGAGTGAGTAGCTATGACGAGGCGGAGTTCATCAACACTCCTAACCAAGGAACTCGGTGGGAGTTTTCGGAATACTTCGGTGAGAATTTGAATCTCGGTGCCCAGTTCCTAGGTGCCAAAAAACAAACAATTGGTAAATTCTGCGCACTTGAACGGTAATAGACTTTGCAAGAGTAGCAAGCAAGTCCTCCCTTTGGTCTGTCATATGCAGTTTGTGCGAAAAGACTGGCAAGGAGAGATTCACTGAAAAGTTAGGGAACTGGTCGTTACCTCTACTTCAATGACATCCAGTACGTCTTTCGGCTCAGATGCATTGCCCAACAATTCATCCATATCTGACTCATTCTTTGCGTGTTGATGATTGTATTCATCCATGTGATTTTTCTTCTCCATTACAAGAAACTTTCCCACAAAAGAGTAGAGTTGTCGAAACTCGATGCGTTGGCAGAGGTGCGTGGAGCGAAGCAAATCCGCCTTGATCAAAGAGGAGGCTTCAGAGGGATGTGGGTATTGTGACGATGCCATCACCCAAAGACAGTGCTCGTCTAGCTGCAGGTATTTTTCTATGGCATTGTCATCACCAGCACAGGCGCGCAGAGACAGATCGCGAAGGTGCAGGGTAGATTCCAGGGCATTAAGGATGTCAATAAACATAGCTTCAATCGTCAGTGCAGTTTTGTGAGCATATACACTGCGGAAAAGACGGGTACGTTGAGAGAAAATGCGCATAATATTTGAGTACTCTGAGGACCTGAATGACATATGCCAAGCATCGTCGGAAGCGTAGTAGGCCGGACGGTAGAAACGAAGCATTCGCTCCACTTCAATAACACCTTGGCCCTGACCCATTCCTGCATGAAGGGAATCACGCATAATGTAGTCCCACTTGTCCACATCATTTCCGTTTAATGTATTCGAAACTATCTGTAAAAGTAAACATCCAGAACTACAGAGAAATTTGGGAGGTGTATCTGCATCAGCATTCAGAAAATATATCAAGCCTTAGTAAATTACGTTTACTCAACGCATATAGCAGAGATCAAATGGGACTATTCTTCCCCCATGTCAAAAATGAGGTGATACAGAGTAAGCTTAGCTTTGCACTATAAAACCTTGTTATCCAAGTGTGTATTAAACAGCCATGTAAATAGAACTTACCTCAAAAATAAATGCTTTCTCCTGAAGCCTCTCCTAGACGAATAAATTGATAAAGTAAATATGTTGAGAAATCAATAACAAGCTTGCTGAACAAAACCACAATGGAATAGTGAGCAGCAACCTTACTCAGTTCTAAGTTAAAATGTTTTAATTCAATAAGGGTCCCGAATACTGCTTCATTATTAATGACAAACAGGCCTCAAACTTATTTCAGTAGTGGGTAAGCCAGTAAAAAGTCGGTAGAGCTCAAAAATGGCCGGAAGTGTGAGTAGGGAATGTCTCGGCCTTCGATACAAGCATGTTATCCTCTAGGTAAAGAAACCAATAGCATGTGATTGTATTTAAGCATGTAACAAAAGGCGTAAGAACGTACCACAAGTTCAGGAGTTGGGTGGCCACAAATCAGCGCAGAAACAAGCTCAAGATCCACCCCACTAGCCTTTAGAAAATCTCGTAAAGGATGGTCTTTTGCAACGATCCGCTTTACGATCAAACAGCTCATGTTTTCATGCTACAATACAATTTAATGTATAATTACGTAGATACATTGACTTTCACAGCACAATACTTGTCAAGCGATGAAAAATAGTGCTTTGCGAGATCGACCACCTTAGGTGAATATTGTCGCAAGCACAAACGATTTGTAATCAGAGAAGTCAAGCGATGCAACTCCGTATGTATAGTTCGAGCACGGGTCACATAAACAGCAGCTGAAAGACTAATTGTGCAAACTGCACGCGTTCATTGATACAGAATTACAGAACATTAATCTTAGAACAGCGTCGACAGACATTTGTTGGAAATGATAACGCCCTTATAAACATTGCAGGTGCAATTCTAAGTAGATGTTTTAAGGAGATCAGGTATGAAAAGAACCAGATCTCATGATGACTATAGTTAGCGGACATTCTTCTTGTATTGATTCACCCACACATGAGATCCAGCAATGGCTAACCTTAAATTGGTTGTAATCCGGACCTCCTTGCTTCAAAAACCTTTCCCATGTGTGAGATAGTGGACCGTGCCCTGTGGAGAAAATACATTAAACCGCTCATTGCATGTTGATTAGAAGTAAAAATGTTACTACAAAATTTGGAAAATATAAACTTACCATGCATTCATAAACAGTTATGTAGGAGTAAAAATTTAAAAAATTTAGTATTGTCCTACAGGTGCTCAACTAAATAAGTTGTCGTCGCTACCTTAATCAAAATAAAACACGTCGTCTACATAGCTTCCCCCAGGGTATGACCTTAAAAGCTCCTAAAGGGGAGTTGTTGAGATGATCCACCAAGGTGAGCACAACAGTTGCTAAGCCACCCTCAGAGGAATTTATGAAAAGTCAGGAATCCACCAAATCATGTTTTCCGAAAGCTTAAAAAAACTAGAAGGATGCAATATGTGTTCCTCCAGGAGGCCAAAAGTACCGTCATTCGACCTTAAGAAATACTGATCAAAAAGGTAAAGAAGCTGAGAAAACTAAACATTTATACATTCTTATTATTATACCTGGCTTGATTACATGATTCGTTTAAAGATTGATTGGAAAGGCATGCACCAGCATAGAGGTCGAAATATGCCTAAGTGGCCATTTATCACGAAACATAAATCATGCATGTATCCATAAATTCCCAAGGTCTCAAATGCTTACAAGCTTTTACTTCAGGAAGCAGAAAATTATTATGATCACCAGGAGAGATATTCGCAAACTAATTGTAAACATAGTTCAAAATAATGAGCACGTGTATTTAAGTGCGGAAAAAAACAAAAAGAAACAATGTACAAAGAATATTGCAAAACCCATACCTATGTCATGACACAAAGCGGCTATCATGACACACATGCGTTCACTGTTAGTAAGGCGCACTGAGGCACACTGAGGATCTGACTGTATAGCCTCAACTAAACGCCGTGCAAGATGGTACGTTCCAAGACTGTGCTCAAACCTCGTATGTGTGCAATCAGGATAAACGTATTTTGCAAGCCCAAGTTGGTGTAATCTTCTTAACCGCTGAAACTCCGGTGTGTCAATAAAGCGCAAAATGAAAGGCTCCACTTCTATGATTCCCTGAACAGAATCTTGAAAAATCTAAAGCATAATAGGCACAAGCGTAACAAGTGAAAAGGAAGAGATTAAAGCACGCATATCTAAGAGAAAGCAATATTAAAATCCATTTAAATGCAAAATCTATAACTAAAAAACTATAAAAAGCACAAGAGTACCCAACCTTAGTTCGACTTGAATGGAACATGACTGGAGGCAAGGTTAGGCTGGCTCCACGAAAACAAGATACAGAAAGGGAATTAAAACTGGTTCCCTTGGCCTTGATGTCACTTATCAGTAAGAAATATTTAAACAAAAGTCGTTTATATGCAGGCAAAAAATTTACTACTTAAATTAAAAAACCATTTAAATGTTCTTTTATTTAAGCAATTCTTACCATCAACTGGCCTCAGGCTTATAAATCCCTTTACGTCGGACTTCGTGAGATGAAAAATGATATTATGAATTTGCATGATTTGTACTCTTTAGAACATTAGTGATTTTGTTTGGCTTTTTGATATTGTTGTTGTGTGCACTCTTAGGATTAAATGCTCATGTCTGATGGGCTTCATAACCAGTGTCAAATTCTTAGGAGCATACAGAGAGCAGCATTACCGTGCTGTTGCATTTGCTGCACGAGCCATTCCGGGAATAATTTACGCGCCCTTTTGACTATACAAGCTTTTATCAACCCTTCTGTTTAGCAAATGTGAATTGTAGAGTTATACGTGTAAAGACCAGAGGCCTTTAATTAGACAGAAGTCACTTGTTTGGTCCGAATGAATGCAATCTAATGAGTTAAAATTGTCACGACTAAGCGTGGTCGGACACTACATGGTCACATAAACAAAGTATTACATTGTCTCTCTCTCCCATGCTTTGATCTATGTCCCCGACAATCCTCTAGGTATACCTCCTGTGTCAGCCGTCACAGCGCACCCTTTACTGCAAGGAAGCACTCACGAGCCTTTTGCGTCAAAAACCAACTATCGTAAAATTAAGCTACATCATTTCTTCCTCATCACAATAAATCAGGATAGCATACATCTGTTGACCATCGACTGCTTCCAAGGGTAGGGAATCTGGTGCAATCACGTACGGAAAGAATTCTTTTACTGCAGTGTCGCTTCACTTGATGATACCTTGTCTATTGAACATAGGACAATGTAGAACCAAACGTAGATATCATTCTCAGCCCTTCTGTTGTAAAGGAATGAGAGTGTATGCCGCTCAATGTACATGCACTTTCTCCGCACCGTAGATATGTGTCACAAGCTGTGGCCACCCGAATAGAAGTCGTAAAATAAGTCAGGCTTGCTTTTCGCTGCTAGTGAATTAGCGCATTGAGACTTCCTACTAGGCAGAAGACATAAAGTTTAACTGAATTCATGATTTATACGAGAAAATAAGGAATAGGGATTATCATGTCCAGAAGGCCAGCCCACGCGTACAAGGACAAGACGAATACCAAAGTTGCCCCATGACGTCCTTTCACAAAATTTGTTGGGTTTTCATTTTACTGCCCTGGTCCTTTACCTCCACCTGCATGACTGAAGGGTTGTTCTAAGATGGTTACTGATTACTTCTGCAAGCTACAGACCTCTCCCTTGCAAAGCACTTTTTAAACCACTAGAATGCACTACAAGTCTGCTCTACATTGTTGATTTATCATTTTATTTGGATATTCCAAAATTTATCGCAGCACCTTTAGTTTAGGTGTCACATAATTTTAAGGTTGATGCTGATAGTTTTGTTCAATGATGTATAAACTCAGGCCTAAAAGCATTTTAATGTCACGACCATCAATCGAGACAAACTATAAAAAGTGTTCTACCGCCTTTTTCATCTGAATTTGCTGACAATGGGAAATGTAGACCATACATTGTCCAACTTCGTTGGTCTCCTCATCCTTTTCCTTCGATTTCTTTTTCTTAATTTTAATTCAGGTTTTTTTGATGCCTCACTGCTTCATCCATTCTCTCTTATCCACTTTCTTCAGCCAGTGAGGAACACTCATTGTTGCGTGGCCTTTGAGCTGTAGGGCCATGGCTGTTGTTTCCCTCCTAATAGGTCAGTGCGGAAACCAAACTGGCCTGGAGTTTTTCAAAACTATTTACAACGACAATTATGGCGAATACAGCAAACGAGATACTCATTTGGAGCATGAATTTGTTAACGAATCGATGGAAACTTTTTTTAGAATAAAGGGCAAGGGTACTCACTGCCTGTTGGTAAACAGTGACTTCGCTAGGTTTAAAGCCGGAGGCTAGATGTGTTCGGGTGGACATGGAAGACAAAGTGATTCAGCAGATAGACAGCGAAACTAATCATCATTGCGGCTGGCGGTATTCTCAAAATTCTTTCGTTGCAAAGAGGGGTTCCGGTAGTATTTTTTTCTGCCCCGATTTTATCTAGCAAATATGGGCCTAAAGGATTAGTCTTTCATTCCTTTTTCTTTCTTTGATCTCATCGCTTTGTTTACTGGTGTGGATTTCACAAGGTGTATTCTTGGTGTACTTAACTTATGCGTTTAATATTTTCCTAAGGAAACAATTGGGCTTTGGGCTACCTTTTGAACGGCCCATCATGTGCGGAAGCTGTTGACGATATTCTGACAGCCGAACTAGAAAAGTGTGACTCAGTTGATGGCATTATAACCACGATGAGCCTCGCCGGCGGCACGGGATCGGGAGTTGGGACTTATCTCCTTGGGTAGGTTTCCCCCTCTCACCGTCGCTACTTTGACTTGGAGTGTTTTCCATCATACTAAATGGTTTTGTATTTCATTAATCACTGCTTTCTCATTGCCAATGTTTAATACTGTTTAATACTACTTTTAACCAGTTCACTTGACTGCATTATGGTTCTGCATTTTTGCTCTGTGACCTAGCACTGTCCACAATGGCATCATAGTACATTAGTCGTTTACCTTCAGTACACTACCAATAGTTCCTACTTTTCGATCATTATATTTTAGTTTTCGGCCTTTTCTGCTGAACTTCACATTGATTTGGCAAAGTTTTATACCCGTATCATCAGCCTTCCATTCGTCTCACTAGTTGTGCCGTTGCATAGGTTTGCTTCGTCGATGCTAGAATAAAGTAGTTTTCTTTTGGTCCCAGATTCTTTTTTACTTGCTACGAGCGAAGTTGAACAGAGTTCCTTTAACTACATTAAAGTGGATTCACCTAAAGGACATCAGTATTTAGTTTCGCATCACTTTTTTTGTAGTTAACTTGACATTGTGATTAACATTTAGTCTACAAGTAAATGTTGGTTATAATAAATGATCGGCTTTCGAGATGTGAAAATACGAGCAAAGTATTTTTGGTTCGAACATTTAGTAAAGCTTCCTTAGCTTTGTAGTCAGAAAATGCAAATGCCTAAAGGTTGAAGTTTTGTGACTATATCGAAGAACAGGAGGCGTTTTGTGGAAGCTGCTGAGTGAAGCCTAATTGCGTTGCAGTCGCCTAGGTGACGTGTGCCCGAAGGTGCCGGTGCTGGCGCAGTTGGTTTTGCCGTATCGACAGGGCGAGGTGGCGATTCAGGCTTACAACGTAATTCTGAGTTTGGGTCACTTATTATGCGCTAGCCCTGGCGATGCACCCTGTGGCCTCTTGCTGCACGAGAACGATCTTCTCCACCGTGCCTGTGCCAGTCGCCTCGTTTGTCATCGACGTCGCCAAATCGACGGACACGCTGATGCCCTCGAAAAGGTGCCCCTTATCGAGCTTAATCGTCTCATGGCACATCTTCTCGGAGGTGTGCTTCAGGTATCTCCACTCGCTCCTAATTCTCCAAACGTTCAGACATGAGTAAAGTGTGATGAAAGCATAGACTATTGTTGCACCTTTGGATGCTATTCGTACTTTGCGTAATGGTTGTTAAGGCCCTTTCTGGGAACCTTATGCTCTATAATGCCTTCCAACGCACGTAATTTTTGAATTGGTGGGTGGTGAAGACGTGTTTGTTGTTTTCTTTGCGACCAGCCAGTAGTGCTATTCTTCTTGCATCTGCTTTGATGAATTGTTATCATATGCTTCGAAAGTTATTTCAGTTGCATTCCCCGAAATTCATAGGTTGGGCATTTACCAAGTTTGACGGCCGGGATGTTTGTCTTTCTATCCTTGATTGAAGTTGAATAACACTGATAATAAGGGTTGATGTGTAGCAGACTCAATACTTGTCCCAACAAAATGCATTTCGATTCAACAAGTGTGCATATTTGTTGTCAATACGCATTGACCAGGCGATTGAAATGGTGGACGCTCACCTCGGGCGCCCTTACTTAGGTCGCCTTACGTGGATACTTTGTTTATTTATAATAATACCCTAAGATGGGATCTTGCTACTAGGCCGAACTGGTGAGCGTTAGCATAATAATAAATTTTGTATGCATTGCTTACGTAGGATTTGTGACTGTGTAAGGATGTTAGGTGGTGCTCGACTTACGATTGGGCTTCCTGGCGATCTAGCCCTACACAGGATCATCTCGTGGTTATACACTTTGTCGTCGCCGTCTGACCCGTCTTCTTTTTGACTTGGCTGGACCTGCGGACTATCGGCTATACCGGTTGCACTGTTTGCCATATCATCCAAACAGTGAGGCTAGACACTTTGCCACTGAAACCTGGCAGCAGCTTTTGCGTCATGCCAAGCAACTCCTCCTCTCTGGTGCTTGTCTTGGTGATGGTTCGTGAACACCGCCTTCACAACTCGTCTTTCTTATCCCACATGCCTCAGTTGTACTAATTGTTATTTCTATAACTTACAATAGAAATGAACTGGTGTGTTTCGCTTGACAATCTGCGCAGCTACCGTCGACAGCCACTTCTCTCCTGCGCAGGCGTAGCGCGCGGCGCCGGAGCTGATGAGGTATTGTGGTCGGGACTCACTACGGGTCTCGATGCGGAGGGCGTAACGAGGCCTTGGGAGGTTAATACGTCCTCTCCAATGAGCGTATATGCTCGAGCCTTCAACGGTCACTTTCGCGGTGTTTTTTTGGCTACTAACGGTGGTGGTCTGGTCGCTGAAGGTGATCATAATGGTGCTAAGGCTTCGAGTACTGATGTCTGCGCACCGCTCCGACTGGTCCGTTCTCGAGCTTGGCGTCTCTTTACCTCCTCCGCCTACCTCCACCAATACGCTCAGTTTGGCATGGAGGATCCGCGAGCCTCTCTACTTGATGCCTTTGCCGTGGTTGAACAGACCATCCATCTATATTCTCAGCTTACTACTTCTTAAACATCTTGTTATTATTGCATTTATTGGTATTTTCTGAACAATTTTGAAATAAGATTTCGGTAATGTTTGCGTCTCACTTCTTTTTCCTGAGATGGTGTTATTAGTCTTTCCACTAGTATAGTCTTCGGAGTGCGAGGCCTGACTCATATTTTTGCAGTTCTTTTGATATTCTTTTATTTCAATAGCTAATTACGAAGAGTGCGACCAGAAGTGACTCATACCCAACTCTTGTCGATGAGAAACAGCTATCTGACGAATAGCTGTGGTTAGAGTAATTCTTTTGTGTGTTTGGTATTGTTCCACTGCAGTTACTGTGCTTAGATATAAAAAGGCTTTTACCGTCTGAAATGCGCAAACTTCTTGAATCACAAGTGGCAAAGCTACCATGAAAATTTGTCCATAAAGATCTGGGTTCGGAGGAACTAAACAGCGTGAAGAGGAGCTACTCTACGCTGTACAACTTACACTACTAACCGTAGCACCCACAATTAGACTATGAACTGTTGGCTTTCATGAGTACAACGTCGACGATTAATGTAGAATTCCTCTCCAATCCGCTTGTTCATCTTCGAGGGTTTTTAAATGCGCTAAAATTTTCGCCGAGAGTCGGTCTACTTCTCTATATTCGCGAGGAGTAACTGCAGCACTTAATGTATGTATGTGAGACCGACTATGGTGTGTTTCCTCTCGATGACCGCCTTATTCTTAAGGCAGTTTTATATTGGCAGAATCAAAACGTTGAAGTTTATTTTAGCTTTCATCCATTACACCATAGATATTCTACCACATCTCTTCCCACCTTAAAATCAAACAAATGGCTTTCAAAATTCCGTTATCTTGCTTTGCACGAACTCACCATACCTGTTCAATGTGTATAGTTTCACGCCTTTGTTCTCTCCACCAGCCCAACCTTGTTTGCTGTAGCCACAAACTTTTAGCATGCGAAACAGTACACAGAAAAAAAAGAACGATCGACGTGCAACCTAAAGTGATGCTGTCAAGTTGGAGGCACCACACCTTCGGAATACGTGTGCATAGTGTGGAGAAGGAAGTCCTAAATGTTGCAAGTCTATTGAATAATTAGTTTTTAATTTTAGTTTGTCACCTATATCATGAGCAGTACCCTATGTTGGACAATGTAAGATACAGTCGTGGCAGTTGAAGAGACTGCGGTTGGTTACCATAACTTCACCTGTGGTAGCAGACGCAGCTTTGCTAATTGCTCTCAACTTGGTACAGTGGATTCTCAAACATTTTTTACGACTGTGGATAAGTCTTAATGTAACTCTACTCAACTTGGATTATCAGTAAGCATATCCCATAAACAACTTGATTTTTTTCATTCTCGGTCGAAGTGGACGTAACTCGAAGTCGCATTGCGGACATTGAGCAGATGCAGTAAAGCGACTTCAATTTACTCCAACAAAGAACACTTATGTGCCTAATTAATGGAATGCATATTTCTAGGAATTTGCGCAAGATTCCACACAAACAAATCAAGCATGATTTATTGGCACAAAGGTTTCACTGACTTCTAGAAATCACCGAATTGACAAGGGTATGCTTCTGCGTCGTAGCTCACTACTGCTTGAGACTTTTTTCACGTGAACGGGAATACCCGAGGGGAGCCTGGACGGTCGCTGATCATTGACAGTAAGAAAATCACGCGTGGGTCGACTGATGGAGGAGGATGACGTAGACATTGAAAGTGGGTGAGGGAGCGTAGACTTAGCGTCCACTTGAATGGCAGGGTGGCTCACCTTGATAGCAAAGCCGGTTCGAGCGATCAGGGGCTTGGCTGGTGGCCTACTGGTCTCCACCGAGTTGGATACTGACAGTAACCGCGGTGGCTTCAACCTACCAAACTCATTTCGAAGAGGAAGCAGTTGATGAAGATACCTGTGTCTCTGTGGGACAGGTTTCGGTGAGATAAGGAACGATGGTCGGTGAATAATATCGGGATTCGGAGTGGTGAGGCTAAAACAACTGGAAGCACGATTCAGAGTAGGTTCTTCAATGGTATCCTCATCTTCATTGTCAGAAACATCGAAAACGAGTTGATAAGAGGCAGCACGGTGAAGATTTGTGAGAGAGGAAGAGATGGGAGTATGCATGAAATCAGATGCTGCAGAAGGCTGCTGGTCCCACTCAATATCAGTATGGTTACTATTGCGTTCAGGGGACGATTCAGAGGGAGAGAGGAGAGGCTTAGTCAAATCAAGATCAGCCTCGATATCGGGCGTCCGCACAAGACACTCGATGACAGTAGCCTCTTCGATGTTAGGCGGAGTGGGGATTCTGCTGGTTTCTGATGCTGGAGATATGGAGTTGAGAGAGCGACGAGTAGACTTCTCCACTGCAGCTGCATCGCCATAGAGCATTCGCCCAATCCGACAGTCGCCTTCTATCACTACACTCTGGACCCAGCCAACTGGTATCATGTGCTCCGAAAGTGAGAGACACTGACCATTTAAGTAGACCTATGAAACAGTATGTCTCATTCATTGTTTGATAAAAATGAATCAGTTGAATTCGTCCTGCGCTCCATGCGTTGGCAACACATTGAAGAGTTGGTCACCAGGAGTTAGACGTTTTTAAAATGCATTTGTTTTGAGTGCAAACAAGCTTTCTTTTTCATGAGAATCGCTATTATGTGCTCATTTCGGAAAGTCATCGAAGAGTCGAACTAATCTCGCAGGGCGCAACGAGTAATTGCAGTGTAGCTAAAGTCGCAGAAAACTCAAGGCAGCGTCTCATTTGTACGAATGCCACCATATACATTTTCCATAGCACAGGAGCCTAATTCTACCTAGCTAAAGTCCTTTAAGGAAAATGTGTATAAACGTTTGTGTAAGAAGAACCATGAGGATGTTGTGCTAGGCGTTGTTCACCACGAAGAGGGCTCCATTTTTTTGCAGTTCTGAAGTCATGCACAGTGCTTAAACCGTTCTAGTGTTCATCTTGAAAGTTGTATGATTGGGGTGATTTGATGCGATGCTCATATGCAACCCGGTGGCACTCCTATGCTTTAGATTCATTTTTGTAACATCATACTTGCCTGCAGTTAAGCTTATGCAATCATAAGTTGATAGCACCCAACAGGAGAAGGCATTTCACGTGCTAACAAACGCTTCAGCGGACTATGTAAAGGTAGCAAAGGTTCCGTCTTTATAGCTAGAAGCCAAGAATTGGGGATATCTGCTTCAGTTCATAATTTGGGTGATTTGACAGGTAGTCTTTGTATCCGCATGCAAATTGAATGCAAAAAAGGGAGGGCATTTCTAGTGTTAGGTAGTTGACGGTTCAAATCGGCTTGGAATTATCCCCCACAGTGTGCGTAAAGGAACGAACGAAAAAAATTTAGATAGGACCAATGAAGGAGAAATAAGAGCATTTTGTCCTGAATTTGAAACGAATTGTCGCGGTATGCTTACGTCATTCGCTCAGAGCTAGTTGTGAATTAAGCTAAAAGCTCTTAAAGTAATCTCCTATAGACTAATTTGACAGATGGGCTTGGTTGCCATCACGATGTGCCCCATGTGCAACGGAGGCAATCAATGAGGCAATATGATACGTCGGTGGTTCCCCTCTTTACTTGTCTCGGTCAGCAAAAACGAAATGCCAAACAAGGTCATTGGACAATTCTTTCGACCCCTTTGTGAAAAGTAGTCATTTCTGTTAGGATGCAAAAGACTGCGGCGATTTCTGATGGTAAGCAAAACCTCTTCTTTCTTTGTATCAGATCACCTGCTACACTCGATTGTGAGGAGTATGACTCCGAGGCAGTAGTAAATTTTTTCAAGTCATTCCTACCAAACAGCATACTGAACATTCACCTGATGCTAAATCACGTTGCGCTAGTTTTATTATGGGTCTACAAAATCCTGGCAACTTACACATCTACAAAATCTGGAATGCATTTCGCTAACGATGTGCTCCTGACTTATTTCATGTCTCTGAGGCACGGAGCCATTATTTACCGAGTTTTGGAGGGTGAAGAACTACTATTTGCGATTATGCTTTTCCCAAAAAGGATAATAGGTATCGAAAGTTTGGTGAAACATGTTGAAGGTAACGAAAGTAACAGTGAGATGCTATGGCTTCATTGTAAAGTGCCCTAGTAATAATAAAGCACATGACTGAGGGGAATCTGGAGGAGAATTCGTCCTACATCGTAATCTATTTAATCATCATTAGAAAAGTACGAATTTTGCTTAACGGTTCAATATAATTTACCTCAAAATAGTCCTTCTTGACGCAAATTTTACAGGTGAAGAGCTCCCCAGTGCGAAAACCATTTCTGGCTGCATTGAAGCCTGAGGCGTTGGAGCTCGTCTCTGGAGTTGAACCACAAACCTCCCATTCGCCGTTAGTGTCTAATATTACCTCCAGGGGCGTCGTCTCGCTCACAGGTACCTGCACCGGAGACTCTGACATTGATGAGGAAGCCGAAGGAGGTAGTGGGAGATCGGGATCAAAAACTTTGAAGTCTGATACCAATTTCAAAACAAACCTAAATGCAAAGGCAAAAAAATGTAGCTAACTTGTAGGTTATCTTTTAGCAGAGGTAGTTGACTCTGGTCTATGCGCGATTTATGCTCGAATTTTCTGGGTGTCAAAAGTAGATGATGAAATGACGTCAGCTGAAAACTTTGAATACGATCGTTGCTATATTCTGAAAAGGGCGTTTTGATGCCAATACTCTGTGTACGCTCTGGTTCAGCCAATTTTTGGCCTGTGTTAACGCGTAGTATATAATGTGGTGCCATTTGCAAACAATGGTGTCAAATTAATATCGGAACGGGTATGCAATTACCAAAGTCTGACTTATTTCCTGCGTCATTGTTTTGCGCTCACGATGATGAGTGCCAAACCAGGCAGCCCTGCCAGCAGTACAGTTGGAAAGATACCTCTAAGAGTGGGCGTTATCAAGTAGCGATGTTTCAAGAAAGCTGGTGTTGTACCGACTAAGCGTAGCAATGCAAGCCATTAAGAAATGGAGGGGTCGGGTGGGAAAAATCCTTCAGAAGGCACCAGAACTACCGCATCTTGTACCCATATTTTCTCAATGCCGCCCATGCCTCGTCTCTATCAATGTCCGCTTTAGATGCACCTCAACGCGTGTTCAAATCACCGCTTTTAAGTTAAGTGCTTTTATTCAAATCGTCATCGAATAACCTGTCAAGTACAGTTTAAAAACAGTCGTACACGAAACTAAAGCAACATTTTCAGTACTTTGCGTTTTAACTACAAGTACTATCCGAGAACTCTGTAGAATATAAGTGATTAACCTTAGAGTTGACATACAACTCGACTCAAACTCGAATGGTATAACATGAGGGTTGCAATGGGCACATGAGGAATGGGGTAGAAAATAAACGAATAGACGGCACAAACCTAGGATTATTAACATCATAAATCAGGTCCCCAAGAGTTACTCAATGCACTGAAAGAGAATATCCATAGTGCCAAACATTTACAGTAGTTAAAATGAGTCGTACTGAGCAAACATTATCAAAATAAAACCAATTTTGGTAGAGACATTGTAGCACACAATGAACTACTGACTCCTTGGCTTCCAGATCACTAGAGTTAGGTGGGCCGTCAGTTATAACAGAAAGTTGATAAAGGAGATCACACGCATGTACAATGTGAAATACCTGGTTTTCCCAACTTCTCCAATAACAGCTATGGTGTGACCCACGTCGAGAGGCGTCGGAAATTCGAAGGAAATTCCCATTTCCCTCAGAGAGCAAAACGCTCTTGGCTTTAGCAAAGGTAGAATGACGTAGGATGACTCACGCAGTAGCTCATTAAAAGTCGCCTTTACAGCGACATGGATCACCGATGATTGTGCTTTTGCAAAGGTAAGGCCTGTCGCGGCTGCACAGAATTCACCAATCAGACCGCTTGACCCCCACAGCCAATGAGAATGCAGAATTGGATGGCACAGTCCTGTGGGGCGTGCCACCGCATGCCACTTAATGAAGACTACTCAATGAGCATAGTTGATCCAAACACAAAAAGGCCCCAAGGCAAATACTTTCCTTTCCCTCACACCCACCCACCTTCATAGGGAGATACGTCTAACTGATTTCAGAGGCTGCGCGCAATTTCAACACTTGGTGGATTTAAGCAGCAAATAAAACAAGTGCTTTGCTGAAAGACCTTTAACTCTACCGTGATGGGCGATGACCGACGGCCGACATTTCTCAAAGGCGTATACCCACACCTTTGACAAAATAAACCATTCAATCACCATGGCAAAGGCATCATGTGACCCAGTAGAATAAACACTAAGGTAAGGAAAGTGAATAAGCAATCCCATTGAATGTATTAAAGGGAGTCAAGCTGACCTGCATGGAGGTGGAGTAAATTTTGGAATACTACAACTGCCAAAAGTTGTATGATGAGGACATAAGTACACAGAGAAAAACATAGCACGTCATTAAGGAGAATGGTATATTTCAAAAAATGCAGGGTAGTAGGCCTCCACGTAGGAGTCTAGAGCGTCCCTAAGACTGCACGCAGCCTTGTTAAGAGGTTCAGCAACGGTTGGAACCTAAAAAAAGAGGAACAGTAAAATTTGAAAAGGCACTTTGCGTAATGAGGCGGGCTGGGCCGGGAAAGGCAGTGTGAATTACCACTTAAGTAGCTGACAAAAAGTTACGACTGCTAAAGCATGTTACATGGCAACCGGAAAACAAGATTAATGGGCTTTTATTAAGCGTTTTAGCATCACCAGTAAAATAGGAAGGAAATTCACAGAACCAAAGTGAAACGAAACAATTTTCAATAGAGTTAATGCGAAAAATGGAGGAGAATGCCCAGGTAATAAAATTTAGGCTACCAACAAATTATTAGTCGTGGCCCAACCTAATGCGACGTAAAATCGACAAAATATCAACTTTCCCTGAACAGTTGCATAAGATGGGAACTCAAGGTGGCAACGCCTCGTAGCTACAAGCCACAACGGAAATAGCCTGGCATTTGCAGTCATTCCTGCTTGACATTTTCTTAGGCGCGCCACATATGCCTTCGCGACAGCATCAAAGCTCCCTCTGCAGAAATCACTTTAAGTAAGCAATCTTGAAAGTGCTAACCAGATGAGAAAGTATCTTAAAAATAAGGCCAAGCAGAAATCACTTTCTTGTATGATGGTGTCATCAAACCACTGGTGCTTGAAAGAGGGGACAAATGTTGGTGTCAGAGCCAAACTAGTTTGCAACTCTTCGTGATCAATAAAACCAACCCCAAATTCCTTGGACCAGGCGCAAGTATCTGCTGTGAAGGCGTCAATGTCGCGAATCCAAACCTCAATAGGCCTTCCTCCGAGAGTTTCCGAAGCCTCAAGACATCGGCGAAGACGCGCGAGACCATGGAAGACGCTACACTGGCCCCCCTCGCTGTTAGCGTTCTCCACCGGGACATCTGCAGCGGACAGATTCGAGGAGCACACGGGACAGACAAGAGACGTGGTGAACCAAAATGCTTCCGGATGACAAAGAAGACTCAGCAAAATATGACACCCAGACTAGGGAGAAAAAACGAACCACATGCTTTGACATATATCGAATTTGGAGTCCACGCAAAATCCATCTTTCAGAGCTGTGATTATGATAAATAAAAGTCCAGATAAATTAAGTCTAGAAATAAGTGGAAAAGGAAATGTCGAGATACAGAGGGCATGACAATTGCCAAATCCATTTATGGAGAGGAGCTTTGTGAAGTGCCTTCAATTGAAACTCGATACAACATTGTAGTAATGATCGGGACACGAGCTTTTCCAAATGTTTCAAGAAGACTTATTCTTATCCCACAAGCTTGGTGACATTTTGTCAAGCAAAAATAACAATAAGGTGCATCATATGATAGAATCCAGGTGGTGGTACCTAAAAGCAGCGTGTTGGATGGGAAGATCGATGTTAAAGCAATGGTAATACAAACAGACTTCGTAGAAGAAACTATGCCAACTTCTACAATGGGTGTTTAAACAAATGAGATATCGTAAGGTTGCATTAAACTTCGGAAATCATAGTCACTTCCACGTCAATATGCAGCCTTCGAAAGTCCCATTTGCAAATAATCATCCAGCAGTGCCAAAAATAGTCATTTTACGAAGGATGTGCCAAAACACAGTAAAAAAGCACAATCCTGTTCGCCCATGCGAAGGGTGGATGTATTTATGAACCGAGCACATCGCGCGAGATGTGAGTGGATAAGGCGAATGAAGGCAGCAAATTGCCAGTGTAATTAATGCTATAGCTGCTACAACAATGGAGGTAAACAAAGTAGCCTTTGAAATGGGCCAACAGCCCAAACACTATTTGGTTAGACCGAAAAGTCGAAGAACTCACAAAGTGTAATAACCTTCCACACTTAAAGTCGCTAGTGGGTTAACTAGATCTAAATTTATCATATAAGTTGAGACGTCTGAAACTCTCTGCACCTATTTAAACAGGGGAACAAAAAGGCTCGCCTCGAACTGTTCGTGGGTCCAAGTGGAAGAGAGCACATTGGTGGTGGATGACACGCCAGTACAGATATCGCGGATCCGACGGGGCGGAACAGAGAGCGATTTAGTCCCAGTTACGGTGGTGGCTGCGCAGATGGAGCATTTCCAATGCAGGCTTTGCAGAGAGCCTAAATCGAGGCATGGTAAGTGACACTGTGGGTGGAAAGCACGCTGGCAGCTCGTACAAACTGCCAAAAGACCGGAGGAGTGACAGACCGCACAGCCACCGCTAAGGAGTGTGATGTCGATTGGTCTTCCACATGTATTCATACCGCCGTCGCTACCAGTGCTTTGAGTGGTCGTTTCCGCGTTTTCCTGACACTACAGGCCCGCGTCGGAAAATAACAGGAAACATAGACATTGGCTTCAATTGATTAAACCTCCACTTTAAAACAACTAATGTTCAGCTTTGGAAGTTAGGGACGAAATCAGATTCGCGTTGAGTATGAGCCTTTGTAAAAGCCTGGTCTTCAATATCAAATCGAAAAATAAGCCATCTTAAAGACTGCTCTCTAGCTAAAAATTTCAAATGAAGAAATATAATGTACTTTTAGGATTTAAGTAACACAAAACTATATTGGCGTGTAGCAATAATATCCGACAGGCAGACGAAAAACCAATTTCAGAAAACCAAGATATTAATTGTCTCTTCGAAATACTTTTATTACGTCTCTGCTAAATGGAAGGGGAGAATAAACGAACCTCTGGAAGACCATTTGAAATGCCATCGTCAATATTTTGACCGGAGGTCCAGCATACAGAGGACACCAACCGAGCAAGTTCATCTGATGGCCGGTTAGGGAGGAAAACAACGCGAGAGGTTGCAGATTTACGCCAACCACTCACTGTCCGTACATCATCATTGTCCTCGGCCACCGTTGACACTTTCATGTTACTGTCTGCTGACACGATACTAACTTGCGTTGCCAAATCCTGTAACCGCTCCTCCAGACAGATTGCCAGCTGTACCAGACTTGCCGGATCCTTCCCCTCGTTGTCGACAAGGCAGTGCGACAGACGCAGTGTATAGTCAATGCGTTCCTATGTATGAAAGGCCAACTGTATAACACAATTTTCCTGTATCTCTAAAGATAACTTATGGGAGATTCAAAAAATTGTCCAAATATCCATACAGAAGAAGACAACCGCGCTATTGGGAAAGGCCTCAAGTGATAAAAAAAGAATGACAGCAAAGCATAAGCTCAGAAATCATTAGTCTATAAATGATATAATGCATTTACGTATTAATAGTTTACTAGAAAAAAAGGAGGCAAACAAACCAGCAAGCCATGCATAACGTCATAAGCCTCCGCTAATCTGTCAATATGCGTCTGGGCGATCTTGTCAAGTTCCGCATCAAGACTGTCCCTGTTTTTGTTAATTGCATGGCAAAGAACGTCAAGAGACCGACGGAGAGAAGCTTTAGCGACATCGACACTAGCAAGAAGAGCGGTAGGGGCACGTTTGGCTGTACCTAATAGGGTTTTCAAATGCTCCATCTGCGCCTCGAGAGAATGCATTGCAGCCAGTAGACCAGGACGAAGTAGCTCCGCCTTTTCTTTTACCCACCGATGTCCACCGTGATCGCGATGCACGGACAACTGGCAGTCGCGGCAGGTCAACACTCCGCATGTCTCACAAAAGAGCTCTAGCGATTCACGTGGATGGATTTCACACTTCAAGCCTGACATGGTACAAGGAGCGCAGCTGCTCAGCTCTTCCAATCATTACATATCCAAATCATTAAAGCAAGTACCGGGGCCGACAAGCTAAGGCACAGCAAATACCTTACAGCAGTTTACAGTCAACTAGAACGCAAAAAGAAATTGCGAACCAGAGAAGGATCTCGACCCATAATAAAAGAAATGAGAACCTACATATTTGAGTCGTATCAAGTTAATCTCATACTATGAAAGAGCTAGCTAAGTACCTTTATCTCCACAGTCTCCAACTATGTTTATAGTGTGCGATCTAAACGGAGGCATTCTATTGTGTCCCTTGATACACTCGGTGCAAAGCCACTGATTGCACTGTTTGCAATGGCCCTGAGAGACATTAGATTCGCCACCTTCAGAGCACCACATACAATTAGGTGTCTTGTTCTGAGGATTCATTTTGCACAGAGCCCCATTTGTTATTAACTACTCAACAATTAGTAAAAACATAAGCAGACCTTGCTGCTGGTTTTGCCGCACCGATTACAAATATATTTCTCAGAAACTGTTACTTTATCTACACAATCATTGCAGACAGTGTGCAAGCATTGAGAAAACAATCTTGAGGCTTCTTGCGAACCACATACGCAGCATTCAAACAGCTGGTGTGACGAAGTTGAATCCTTCAATTTCATACTATTTGTGTTGCCTCACGCCAAAACCGACTGAATTCTGAGTAGGCAGCTTATGCAACGAAACATAAGAAGCGGTACTGCTACAGCATGCAAAAATTTAAAATGAACAATAATAAACACATTTTTACCGATAAATCTGAGTTCGATCACTAAAATTTACCAGTTGATATTGTTGTAAATGATTACAGTAATAATCATCAATTCGGGAAGAAACTAATAACTTTGCATTAATAATACGAACCCATAAAAATACGCTGCATAAACCCTTGAATTCATTATATTTCTTAATCCGCGTTAGTAGGTATCTAATTTGCTGGCATTGTGCTTTTTGGATGCGATGCCGTAAATTGTGCTTCATTGATCGTTTCAACATAGGTGTCACTTGGGTTTCTTTAGTGACATGATGAAATTTGCTGACCTTAAAATTGTTATAATCGATGGAGCGTATGGTTCACTTTTATACGATTGTGGTGTAAACAGTTGTTGCTGATGCGTGTTGTCCATTTCACATGACGATCAATTCTGAACAGAGGAAACGCCACGAAACGCTATGGATATTGAAAGTCGACCCATCATATATTGTAATCATAAAGGAATATATGTCTCTTTAACTCATGCTAAAGCGCTATGATGGCTTGTTCTACGTTCCCAGATGTATTATATTTTATTGGGTTGCTGTCAACACATCGAGTTTCCATTACACTTACTGTAATTTTGCCACTAACTAAATGCATTTTTGGCTCAGGGATCCTTTTTGACAATGTTTTATTTTCTGGTTTTGTAGTCTGGTGTTTTCTTCTGTTTTTGAGACTTTCTCGTGTGATCTGACTCGGATTATAAACAGTTTTTAGTCCCTGTAACTTCTTTTGACTATAGCTGGCAACACTTTTTGTTAATGGCATCATGTCTGTGGTTTTGGTGAACTGTTAGCTCACCAAACAACAACACCTATGCCTTGCTAAATCTGTGCTTTTATATTTGTGTACATTATTCCATGCATATCTTTTTTGTAATAATCCTGAGGTGGCAATATTAAAAAATTTAGTCTCGATTTTTATGCGGATTATTGGCAAAGCAACTCTCTTTTGAACGCCTCACACTTGTCTGGTTTTTCTCGCAGTCTTATTCTTAAGGTGCCTTTGCTGACGCCCAGCACCTTACTGTTAGAACGAAAATCGGGCTCGTTGGTTTGTATTGTTTTGTGTTTTGGCTTCTTGCATTTAACACTTCAGATTACGGACATGAGTCTGCAGAGGGTCATGTTCAGGAACTCCGTTCCTCTGGACTCGCTGCTCAGCCTGTTCAGTGGAGTCGTCGATCTGATCAAACGTCTCAAAGCGTTCATGTTGATCCAAATTTTCTTCCACTACACCTTGCACCCGATGCGAATACGGATTTAGACAATCAATCGACATATCCTGCTATCTACATTTTCTTTTGTCCAAACGTAAATCTCTACTTTTTTGACAGATCCCAGTGTCTGTTTTCAAAATGGTTATTTTATTTCTTGTCCTCTATCTCATCAAAGCTTCGAGTGCTTGTCTAAACGAGTGTCTAACTTCCTCTGTCGGAGCCAATTACACCTTAACAATCTAACTTTGATTTTAGGATAATTTGTTGTCGTGATCGTTCTGTATCCTGTTTTACTAGATTTTTTGCAAAGGCTCTTATTTATGCTTTGTATTTAGGATCTCCAGTACTATGCGGATCGCGGAAAGAAGGCCTTTGGCAAATGGTTTGGATTTTTGTCCTCAAATAAACTACAGGAGTGGCTTGTCATCACAATAACGGATAAATCAAAGAAGATATCCGCAAAGAATTCTGTGGCTTCTAAACTGAAGCATGACTTCTCAATCGACTTATTTGATCAGTGAGTGTGTTCTGCAAAAGATCTTGCTTCTAATCTAGATTCCCTTTGTATCCTTTTGTCAAAATATTGTATATTAATGGCTATCAGTATATTGGACTTATTGTGTGCTGAACGAATAGGTTTTATTGTCGCTCAGGTTTGAAATCTGAGGTTTAAATCTGTTATATTTACTGCCACAATTCCATTCATTTGGACTGAGGTGGACACTATCGTATATCTTGTTTCTTTTGGAGTTATTTGTTGACCACACCATTTGGTAATGAATGTGGTCAATCGTAGACTTCATCTGGTCTCAAAAATGGGAATAAATCTTCACAAGGTAGCTGGGTACCTTTTTTAGCTTGCATGAACTTCCAAGTGACTATGAAGCCTATCCAGGTACTTTGCAGGAATTGAATGTCAAACTTCGTAATTCTGTTATTCGCGTTTTCAACACCACCCTCGACACAATGGATAATCGAGCAGCGAAATTGGAAGCGAAGAGACAAGATAAGGATTGGGACTTTATGGATTATTTTCTTTGCATGGTGCGTTTTATTTGATTGTCTCTTGAAATTCGATTTCGAATGTTTTTTTTTAAGTTCCATGCTTAAATTTCCTTGCTTTTTAGGATTATATCTCTAGGTACCACTGACATGATTGACTATCTCTGTTATTTCATATGAAATAACTGTACTGTTGACTATTTAACTTATAATTCACAACGTTGTGCATCTTGGGTCAGTATTCATTACTAATAGCTCGCTAAAGCTTATTGTCTATTGAGTTTTCATGTTTGGTCATAGGCTTTTAACCAAGAACCATTTTCCTTGATTCTCATGTTTCTAAACACCGCATTAAACCGACTTGTTAGTTCTCGTATGTTATGCTTATTTATTTTATGCTTATTGCGTTGTTGATGCCTGAGTAGTCTAGCAATTGAAATCACGCACGCAATTAAGGAAGAATCTTAAAGTTTCGCTGGACGTTCTGTACCGGTGCAGTGCTCCAGCATTTTGTAAGTCAAGAATATCCTCCATTACAAAGGCATCGTTTCAAACGAGTGCGCTTCTAAATTCTGGATTTCCTCCACGTGATCTGATATGCGTTCGCTTTAGGCGTTCTCTTTGCCACTGTTTCTCCTCTTGTCCCTGGTATTTCAATACTTATAGCTTGCTTTAGCCACTGCATCTCCAGTAGATAAGTCCAATGGATTGGAATGCTTCCTAAGGATAAGTTGAAAAATGCTCTCTCGGACCGTAGGAGAGATGAGACTGAAGTGAACGTGAGTGCAATCGCTTCTCACTTATTTAAATTGCAGGAGGAGATTGCCTCTCTCTACAGCTGCATGAGTCTCTATGAGGAAGCACTGGAGTGCATGGAAAAGGCAGAAAACTGCCTGTCCGTTGCGTTGGCCAACGCCGCTGGGAATGGTCTGTTCTTTACATTTATTGGCAAGACCTTTGTTTTAGTCACCAGCCTGAGTACTTGACGTGGTGAGGTAAAACGGCAACTTTTTGAATCATGTTCAAACTTGTGCCTAATATTTTATACCTTTTTAAATTCTATGTCCAAACACCGAACAAAGTTCGGTACTAGCACAGTCTTATTTTACAACACACATTTTCAGGTGCAACAGCAACTTTATTGACGAGATGCGTTTATTGCGCTCCATCAATAGCATTTAAGGTCAATATTCTATTTGTATCCAGGTTTTGAGTAACTAATCTGTTGATGCAACTTCGTAACAATTATTCGGTCATTCCAATTTCCTTTTTAAACAAGAGGCTAATACCTTGACCATTGCCGCTATCTGTAAAACCATAGCAGACAGGCAGCCTATGTACGAATTTTTACTACAACAATTTTCAACACTAACATTTCATGTGACCCGCGAAATGCGATCGTTTTGCTTCAAAAACTGTTGCACTTGGACTCTTTTTTTTGTTACACAGTCTCAGATGACTACTATTTTCGATGCCTTTATGGTTAACTTCCAGGTGGCAGTCAAATATATTCAGTTTGTTTCAACTCTACGTTACCTTTGCCGATGATACGATTGACGTTGGTCTTTTCTCCTCTTAGGAGTCAATAGGTGGGTGCGCGACCTATTGTCAAACAGTTGCGAAAATCTATTAGCTGATCCAACCATCATCTCCACTTACGCCAGCCCCCAGAGAGTGGAAAGGGTGCGGCGACGCAAGGCCAACCTGTTTGAGTTGCATGCCCATATCCTAACGCGTGAGTGTGCCCTGCTTCAGGCCCTTGATCGCATCACCGAGTTGCCGGCCTGCGCCGTTCGAAACATCAGCCTCTGCACCAAAGTGGCTCGTGACCTCAAGGCGAGTCCATTCTTCGCCCTCTCCCACCTCTCCCCTCTCTGCATGAGGGGGCGTGAACAAATGGACTTTTGCACAATTCCGGAACATATTGATGGCTTATAAATAGATGAATGGGTTTTGGTGTGGAACGGCTCAAGGTCAAGTTTTAACTGCAAATCTATAGTTACGTGACGATGTGCTAATTTTGGTCGTCAAGGTTTGTTCTGATGCTGGCACAATAAATATGGGTTTTTCCTCAATTTAAGATGTTAATTCTGAACGCTTTTGAGTTAACCATCAGTAATATGAAAAACGGGAGGAGTTTTGTGCTTACATTCATACTGGGACTGCTATTTAAAGGCTAGCCTACCATCGATTGGTAATTGTTGGCACAGTACTGTGATAATTAAGTTATGCAGTGATCTGCGTTGAATGCACGTTGCATTTTGCGATTGACTGATGTAGCGTATTCTTGTCTATCCATAAAAAGGCCAAAACAATTACGGTGAGCTTTAAATTACACTACATTTCTCTTATCAGGTGATGGTGCCGGCTCTCCAACTATACTTTTGGATTTTCATTTCCACTCTCCAAACGCTCGAGATATTTCGAAGGGGAACGCCTTGTGTGCCGAAGGCCGAAGATTTCGCACACCTTCGACATAAATTTTTGCAGGCCAATAATTTACTGCAGCGCCCATCCTCCGTTGTCACCACCTCTGCAGCTCCAGTTAGCGCTTTGAGCGCAGATGAGGACTCTAATTGCCCTTCAAATATGTCTGAGTTAAGTGTTTCTACTCTCATTTCGGCGCGTTTCAAGGCCATGGAATCATTAGACCTATTGGAGGATGTTTCTCTACACAATGAGGGCACATTTAACGTCCTTGCTAGAGCTGTTCTAGCATCTGTAGCGGCCGACGATCACGCTAGGTCGGGTCGCACTACCTTGCAAAGCCAGGCCCTCGTCGGTACGAGCCAGTGGACTGTTAACTTGTGGAGGCACGCTTGCGTCGCCTTGGGCCGCCTCGGTCGCTGTACCGATCTTTGGCCCGATCCAACGCGTCGTATCCAGGGTGCACGGTCTGACTCTCCACAGAATGCAATGCTTCTCTCAATATTAGATTCGCTGAACAATTTCACTGGTCATGGCTCCAGCAACGTGGGATCTACACTCTGCGGCTTTGGGGGCTCACTTGGCGCTCAACTGTCCATTGCTTTCATCTCACCAGAGTCTTTTGAGGAGGTTTACCGCAAATTTGCCGGTGTCTGTATTTTCTTTCAAAGTTGTTCGGGGGCAAAACGCGGCTCAATTTGCATGTCCCTAGAACTGGCTGATTTCTACAGGTGCGTCTAAGTTCTGTGCTAATTGTACTCTTGTTTCTCTATTGCAGTTTGCCGACTATTACTTTTTTTCTCTTTCTCATTCATGAATTAAAGCATACTTTGTGAAGTGGAAATGCATTTGCTATTACCAGTATATTATTTGTTTCGATATTCTCAGGATCTTGCATTAGGCTGAGTAAAATGGCTCAATAACGCCACCATATGCGACCAGCTTTATTACAATTGAATTTGCTCTAGGTTAAGTGGTCATAAATACGTTTGCGGAAGCACCGTTTTTAATGAATTTGAATACGTTATTAAACCTTTGTCGCGTCGGCTAATCTATGGTGTGACGTCTCTACTTTTGGATTTGCAAAGAGTTAAGATCATGTGCGCATTTCTGGTGTTATGCCGCTAGCGATAGAGGCTAAAACATCACTCTTGGCTGCTGTCAAATGTGAGCTTTAACTAACTAAGACTATTGAATCTTCTGTCTGCCCTCAGTGAAAATCACAAACTCTTACAGGATTGGAGATTTGGACCTCATGAGAGGTAGCTGGTGATTCTGTTAAATGGGCAATGCGCCATAATTTATTCATCTGGATTTTAGAGACGCTGGAAAGTTCTTAAAGGCGGAGTCTCTGTACCACCGTGCCACGAAGATTTTTCTAAAGGATTCTTGGACCGAGCTTGCGACATATTCTCTTCTGCAGCAAGCCTTTTGCCAGGGGGTCCAATGGAGAACAGAAAATGTTGACACTGTAGAAGCGTCTGTCTTCAGACGGTTAATTCCTTTATCTTCTTGAATTCACTCCTGCAATTATAATACTATTCTATATGTGGTTGATCAATTTCTGATCTGGAACTTCAGTTACCAAAAAAAAAAATTCAGAAATCTACTCAGCTTGCACAGTACTTTATGCTCTGGTAGAAATTATGACTATCACTCAAAGTAATCAAGTTCAGCTGCCATGGCTACTTACTTTTACTTGACTTCGTGCTACCTTCAATCGCGCATAACCTCCACTAAAGGCATAGTGGTCGTTTGCTGCCATTTGTAGCGCTTTTTGTGGTTCTTTTAAGCACATATGAGCTTTTGTCGATCGAGCATTTCTATAAAGCTATAATTAATGTATTCATGTTTTTGTGGCCAAGGACGGACAACTATCCTGAAGTGGAGGCCTTATCTGATATTTTCCACAGATACGTGCAAACTGCTCTGATTCTCGCCATTACGCCAACCAAGAGTCTGCATCAATGCTATGATCTGCTAAAGCGACACGGCTCCTACTTTGACAATCTCTTCGGCGGGTGTACAACAACCGCAAGGAGTTCAGAGGGTGAGGTGGTGATCTTGCCGCCGTGGTGGCCGGAGGACTGGTGGACGCACGCAATCGAGACGGTGGCGGAGCACTACGCGCGCATCGCTCCTCCTCCGGCCCCCGCGGAAACGTTGACATTGCGCCCATCGCTAATGCCTCTCACGGTGCGCTCCCTATGGCCCCTCTTTCGCCTCCTCTCTATCGATCTCGAAGAAGCTAATCCACACACTCATCGTCAAGTCATCCGCCTCCATCTTCGCCTCTCGGGGGTTCGACCGATGCTTCTACGGTAGGTGGTCATTACTTCAGTGTCATCCACCCTATTTTTAACCTAATCTGCTCAATTCAAATCTGGGAAACGCCTTTTTGAATGCTGTTAGTATTTTGATTGCAAATGTTATCTTCACACAAAACGAATTGCAGCATTTCAAAAAGTTAACCACCGTTTTCGTTGACACCTTCACCATAACTCAAAGGATCACAATAAATTTCAAGCAATTGACAGACTACTTCAGTTGCATAGTCCGTTCTAGACATTGTACCTTTTCAAGTTCCAACGTGCGAAAGTGAAATTTAAGTTTGGAACTTCTTTTAGGCTTCGATGGACAAATATGCAGTAAATTTAACAAGATGCATCAGGAGTATAATGTCGACCACAAAATTCGAATTTACTGTACCTTTCTCCAACGCATCAAAGCCTTCTGTTCAAGTGTCAGTGGTTCTTTAATTTTTCTGATTTTTTTATTCCTTTTTTCTCTGAAATCTGTAAGTCATTTCCGCGCTTTCTCCTGTGCATGTACGGAAAAGGTAAAGTCACTGTGCTTATTTAATGCATTTTCAAAACTACAATAGATTTTAGCTCTCAAAAGTCGGTTTTCTTGCCGCACATTGCAAAAACTAAGGAGGATGAGGGAATCAAGCGCTCTCAAAATGTTCACTGCGAGGTAATCTGTCAAACTTGAACTCTAAATCGACGTTGGATATATAGGCGACACCCAAATTACACTCTGACAACTGTAAATTACTATACAAAGTAAGACTAGTATTTTTCAATACGCAAGAGTCTCTGTTGGGGCGCGGCCCACAAAATCAGAGGATTGGGTCGTGCCTCCGCTCTCACGTGAAGTCAGCAAGAGGAGCGGAGGCGACGTGATCAAATTCTTCAATGTTGACTTATCTTCCGAGAGCCTCCGTGTTGGCATCATCAGCTCCGCCTCCGATGCCAGCTCTGTTCCCTCGACAGAATATGGTGGTGGAGGAGACTGTGACGGCTCTACTCCACCTCCTACTGGCATTGCTGCTGCCGCTGCTTCTGGAGTATTGAGCTCTAGTACCTCTAAGGAGTCTGTCATGCAAAGACTGTTCCGTAGGACCAGCGCCAGGTCTGTGTATAGAACATTACGAATAAGTTTAACCGTATTTGCTGTCTTTAACTCATTGGTCATCGAAGTGCGTATAAGAGTAATCCATTTCACTTTAAACTTATGGTCTCTCATTTGTATGGGTGACTGATTTGATAGAGATTCCATTCAGTAGTCCATACTAGCTTTCTATTCCATTTCGACAACATAGTAAGAAGGTGGAAAATCAACCTTTTTTTCTATAATTGTCTCTCCCTGCATTGGTTCATTCATCGAACAATTTAGAGGAAGACCTGGTCGAGTTTTGTTCAAACGATCCAGTGACAACGCACGCATCGCAAACGGTCAAGCAGCTGATGTCAAGCCTTTGAGACGTCCCACGTCGATTGACTTTCTTGGCTACCGAGGTCGACTGAGCACCTTTGATAGAGCGAATCCTTTACCCTGCGATTCGATTCTCGATGGTCTAACACTTTCCTCCGGTAAACATACAAGTCGATTCTCTTTACCGGATCTCCTTTTTTGGTACTAATTCACTTAAGATATTTTGACTAACAAAATGTTTAATACAGTTACTAAAATGTATGTAGTAGACTACAATGCATGGAGACCTATTCTCGCTGACCCAAAAGATCAATTGACATTTCTATTTATTTACCTTCCTTACTAATTCAACACATTTCATATGGTATTTTTTTGAATTTTCTGCGGCAGATTACGATCGCTTCGCGTCTGGAGTGGCAGAAACTTCCGAAAATGCGTCTACTATGGAAGATTCTGTCTTTTCTGACAGTAGACTCACTCGCCGCCACAAAAAGGGGTTTAGCCTCTCTGATCTATCAAGCTTCATGCAGTCGGTCAAAATGCCGAAAAACGAGACCTCCTCAAAAGGTCATGTCGACGCGAACAGTACACCTCTTCCAGTGGTGACAACGAAGGCTGTTGTAATTGAGACGAATGATATCCTTTTCTATCCTCGACATCACGCCACGAATCTGTTCCATTGCCGGTCGCACGAATCAGCTAAAGAACCGATTGAAGACAAAAATAATATTTTGACATTTCAACCGGGTGATAACTATCTCATTTTGGAGACAGCTGTAAGTGTATCAATGTCCATCACATTCCTGTATTGATCTATTTTGAACCAAAATATTTTGTTGCTCCTTATTTTCAGCATTATGGCTTCCATCTTCCCGGTGAGATCTCAATCGCTGTGTACAACGATTTGCAAAGTGCTGCAAACAATAGCCCCATATTCATTTTCTCAAGCTCCATCTGTCCTGAACAGCACGGTCCCACGTGGTCCAATGAGGCGCTTTTGGAGCGTCTCCTTCCAAAGGTCGAACAGATTGAAGTCCTTCGACTATCCAAGGCATATTCCTTCCCTGAGCCGGTGGAAAAAAGTAATTATGTATTCAAATTCATTGAATTCGAGCTAATTCACCGTGAGTTTTGTGAAGTCTGAATGACGTCTTACTTCGTAGCGCAGTTGCCAGTGGAAGGCTCCACCACCTTTAATTGCTACATGTTGTTGTATTTTATATTGCGCCATTGGTTACTGTCGTAATGTGAACTTCAAAATATTTACTACCTTATTTTAACATTTAGGAAGTTCTTTTCTCAACTAAATAAACGCTTTCAAAAATGAGTGGCGTGTGAGGAGGTAAATGTTCGATGGTGCAATAATTTCCATGAGTATGTAGGCGCTTTTTCTTTGAATGTTTCTTGAGTGAGTCACCAAGAATAGGCATCCACACTTCCCTTTACGTACGCGAATTTCGTTCATGCCGATCACGGGATAGGGGTGACTTTCTAGCCTACACTAAAGCTCGTAGTGAACGATGTGTGTTTTGGATGTTGGATGCTTAAGTACTGCACTATTTTCACCATGTGAGCATCACAACTGTTATTTGTCATAGCAAAGGCGTGTTGTGTTTTAAAATAGTCGAAATGAAACTCGTGCCGTTTTAATCAATCTAGCTTGGGCTACTGTACAAGAGATGCGTTGAGAAGACTAGTGTTTGTTTTCACCTCTGCAGCTTCAGCGCTGGTGATGAGTGGGATGAGCCAGCCAGTATTTATAACGGTTCGCGTTGGCGATCTGTCGATCGAACGAAAAGCGATTGATAGCAGCGTTGACAGCTCTACCCGTCTTCTTATGCACCGCTATTCTCCCGCGGAGGCGTCAGCGGAGACAACTTGGGGCCAGAACTACGTTGTAGAGCCAACAGAGGAAGGTGAAGTAAAGACGCCGCCAGCTTTGACTGACCTCGGTGATCTTGTGATCGCTCCAGGTGAACCACCTCCCTCCTCTCCCCTTCTCTACACTCCAGGCACCCGTCTCTGCCCTCGTTGCAGCTTTCTCTTTCGTCCAAAACCAAATGAACGGGTTTGACGCTTTTTCGTCTTAGCTTGCATTATTCTCTTGGTAATGGTCATTCTATACTTCAGGTTAGTCAGGAATGTGAGGGACAACCAAGACGAACAGAGTTTAGAGTAATCGTGTAGGTAGTACACACAGCACACACGGTCGACAGACGTTGTATGAAATTGATAGTAAATGGTGAATTTGCTGTTTTAATAGTCTCAGAATTAAAGGAATTCACCCTTGGAAGGCGACAGACGGCCATTGATTTGCTTAAGCCATCTCTTGCCTTGCAAATTTTATGAAAATCATTTATTATTGAACCACTTAACATCAGAAATGCTTTTACTTCTTAATACACTCCTGAAGATAGTTTGGTTGGTAGTCAAGATCATTATCCATAATTAACAGCAAATTTGGCTTCTCCATGCCTTAAGCGGCAAATCAAATCCACTTTTCCGCGCCCACTTATCCGACGAATTTAGCTGTAATTTCAATGTTGTTTCCCCTCTTGCAGATTGCCTTTATCCTGCCTTCAGGACGTCCCTACTCCATTAAGCTAATGCCAATTGGAGTCTTGATATTCAAAGCCAGGGTCTTCCCCTCTGAAAGTAAACAGTAAGTTAATGTTTTTGAATATATGACCGTAAGGAGATGGCGTCTGTTTAACTAGACAAGTGGACTTGTTTAACTTTAATGAGGGAAATTCGGCTATTGGCCTCCACGTATTGGAGTTTACCCATACTTTGTTCTCTATGTTCTTTCTTGGAATAGCTTCCTTATTACGTTACAACGTTGTTGCACGAGTGAGGTCGTATGGTCCGTGATTCAATGCAGACATGTCTCATTTAACAAGTGTCATGTTTTTTAAGGGACACTGCCTACTTATGATCACATTCATTGCAAAATCACTTCAAACGGCGAATCGGTTTTGGAAATGTTGCAAATCGAAAGCAGAGGAGTGATTATAAGTCACATTTATAGAGATATGGAGCTGGGATTTTTCAAGCTACCTTTTTTCCCTTTAAAAAGAAATAGCGGGTAGGATTTTGAACTTATTTTTGCTTAAAAATGTTCTCCTGTTTTGTAAATACTTTGTTGTACGATTCTAGTATTTTCTTCCGTATCCCACTTACCTATCTTTCATTTGAGGAAATACTAAGTTCGTCGTTTTCTCCTTTGCGTAAGTTTCACGCTTGCGTCCTCCAGCAGAAGAGTTGAATTTGTACCAATGCGTTTAAATGTGCAATGAAGTTCCAGACTAATTTAAGAGATAAAAACACTTATGCTTCCATGACGATGAGGACATTTGTACTTATCATTGCTGTTGATGTCTGTAAATTACTAGTCTGTGGCTTATCAAAGATATTCAGAGTTGCTCTAGACAATCCATACCTGTATTGTTACTCATTTTGTAATAAAAACGGTATTTTATGGGAGATCACGTGTGCTGCGTAGGACAACCCATTCCCTTCTATGTCGGCATACGTCAAACTCGGATTACTTAATTTGATAACCTTGATTCCTTCTAGGCACCTTTGCTATTCTTGTTTCTTGTTTAGCTTCCCCCACGGAGACTTATGGGTTCACTTCTGTCTGTATTCCTTTTGCCGAAGCGTACAAAGGGCACCTTGTTCGCGTTACAACTGATATGGAAGTCCTCGTTTCACATGGCAAAACGTCACAACATACCTTATGGCGATTGTAAAGATGTTAGCACGAGTTCATTGACTTGCAACATGTTCCAATTTATGCTCTGCAGTACATTTCCATTATAGCAGTCAGCGATAAAGTGCTGATCCTTGATGGGGGTACTTAAGACCGACCGTAATTTTATACGCAGTTTTACTCATCTCCCTAAAAGCAAATTTGAGTTTAAATTTTATTGGTGACTTTGTATGAGTTTGTTTGTAGGACCATCATAAACAATAAGTATTTCTGCTTCTAAAATGCTGTTTCGTTTTTTTGTAGCTTCTTAGTGCAGTTGCATGTGGAGATGCGTGACACCACCTGGCCAGCGCTGGGCTCCATTGATGAAAAGGAGGGCTCACCTCATTTGAATCCTTTCTACTGCCAAGAACGTATCGCTTTCAGATTTTCCACTCCTGAAATGGTGATAAAACCTTTTACTGATGCACTTTCGCAACCACCGCCGCAGTCACAGCCGCTTCCTTCAATGCCACCATCACTCTGGGGTTCTCTTATGCAGGGACCACAGCGCTCCATCAGTGTGGTTGAGTTCGCACTCCCTTCTGCCGGCACCATCGCTGGCACTTCTGCTGTTCTACACCGTTCCTTGCTTAATTCCCGAGAAGTTGGTAACTCTGTATTTTTCCCTCCGAAAGCATCGGAAGGTACTGCCGGTGGGAACGCCTCCAATCCATCTCGTACCACCGGTAGCAACGAACCCAGCTCCACGCAAGACTCCTCCAACTCCCAGCATCCTATCCAACTGGTGGATTCGCCCGATTTTGAATGGGTAGTTTATTTCCAACGGTTTACTCGATTTTACGTATCAATCAATCCGAACCACGGAACAATAGCCGAACTGGCTATCACACCTACTTACGAAGATGAGTGCTAAACTGATTTGGTGACTCGTCGACATTTGACCTTTAGTCACACACGACTACATCTGGTACATTATTAAGAACAACGACATGTGCGATTTGTTCGTAGTCAAATACTTTGCAGTTGGCCCAGCCTTATGCCTTATCTCATCCTGCATACTTCCGATAAATTTGATGCGGTTAGGAAAAAAGGATATCTCTCGCACTTGCTGTTCTGCTTACACAGCCAGCAAGTCACCTTTAAAGATCACTTTAATTTCTTTTCGTATACAGTGCACTGCATAAGTTTTGCATTCCACATAGATCAACCGGCAATCTTCTTTAGAGTTTTGGGTAGTTTGTAATCTGTTGCATTATTTGCAAAACTTCTTTAACGAATTGATTACGACCAGTGGAGCACAACTATTAACTGAGTGGTGTACTATAATATCACCGAGAACATTTATCCTTTCTTGAATCTTGAGATCTGTTTGAACTATCCTTCTCGTACCTCTTCACTGACGATCGTTTGTTTGCATAAAATGACTCAGCCCTCTTTGTCGCATTTTATCTGACACCAAAATGCACTTCCTTTCATCCAATGTTCCTCTTTTTCAGGTTGTTTCATTCGGTCGGCCTTTGACAGTCTCATGGACTGTGCAAATGGACTACTTCACTCGTCTACTGCGTCCCTTGCCGAAATCTGACAAGATTGGCGTTTTGGCCGACTTCACCTTCCTTGCCGGGACCAACTTTGATGAGAATCGGCCTCGTCTGCGCTATTCATGCAACCTTATGGTAAGAATATGCGCATAAATACAGCACTTTTTAATAAGAACTAAGGTTTGACCTTTATTATGTGAAAACAATATTGAAACATTGGAAATAGTTTGGACATGGCGTTCATGCATTTCCTCTTGACGTTCCTTTGTCATTTGTGTAAATTGTCTTTGCATAAAGTTCATACAAACTGAACCCATTTTGAAATTTTATTAGTAAATGCCTAAACATATCAGCAGTTCTACCAGCAGTACCGCAACTAAGCTCGGACATGTTAAGTCATTGAAACGAACTAGAGGCAAACTTATGATACGTCGCTGCAGCTTTTTTCCTTTTTCCGTCGTCCTTCCTATCGCTGTCGTGATTTTCGATATTTAACGACAGCAACTAAACTAATTTTCCACAAGTTAATCAAATTTTATACACTGTCGCCGCCTTGCCTTTTAGAAGAAACATTGAAAACAACCAGAACTGTATGTCCTCATGCCTAATGCACATTTGCCGTTTAACCATCTAACAACCATAACTCTAAAGGACAAAATACACACAATGCTCTATTTCCTCCGCAAAATGTAAATTTTTTGCATTATTTGAGGCGATTCTTGAGAAATCTCCGCGACAAAACGGATTTGGTGGAATTTTCACTCGCAGTAATCAAAACCACTTGTGATAAAACGTGTCCTCTGCCTCAGCGCTGTCTCATGGCCACTTATGCTGTTATTTTTTCTATCTACTAAGAAACGAAACGTTGGAGTAATCATTGCTCCACCTCGCCCTTGTATTCTGTGAATTTGAAGACGAGCTCAAATGATTGCTCATTGAGACGTCTTGTTCGCTATTAATAGAGGCACGGGTTTGCTATCACCTTGATAAAAACGTGCCCAACTAGTCAAGATTAATCGTTTCATCCTCGGATGCAGTGTCTGTGACCACACACGTTCCACAGTGTTCTTTAATGCTATGTGATAGAACAAAAACAAGATTCGATTCTTGTTTTATTAAATGGTCAGCGCAGAATCACGTAACCAATCAGACTTAAATCTGGCTAATTAAATGCGCATTCACTATTGAGCGGTTCGTCAATTCGGTCACAATAATACGGGAAGTGACAATCATCTTGTCAGGAGAAGCAACGATAATCAATGGCTACTGGTCCACGCAAAACCGCGACGAGAGGGGCAATCAAAGTAGTGCTGATAGTATCAGATAGTGAAAGTCTTTTGCACAAACAATCTAGTCGGTGGTTCGGGTGGGGCTGGACTCATCAAAGTGAAGGCTTCTCAACTCGATTGCATGCTGAATGCTCCAGATGGAGAGAGGACGCATATATCCCGGAGATCGGTAGCTCTTCTCCATGGTGTAAGCCTCAGGGGTTTGATATTGTAATCCCAGATTCTCGTATACCGTTTTGTAACAGGCACTACCAAGGTCGAATCCATTGATCGGCATCCCCTTGACCCAGAGGAGGTCATAATGGAGTACATAAGTTTGAATCCTCAATATGGTTTTAAGCAGACTAGGATTAATTGGACAATTGATAGCATTAAACCATTGACATCACTGGTTAAAGGCTTTCCTGTTTACCTCCATTATAAAGAGAGATGCAAGAGAGTAGTTGGTACCAACCCAGAACTCATCAGCTTGGATGTTAGAAATGATTTTACCATTCTTGTGAATCCCGTTGATGGCGCCCATTTCTCCGCTTAGCGCCGATCGCCAATTTTTGCTGACAACCGAATCAATCGTGGTGAGAATTGTATTTTCTGGAAGAATCTGCAAAATAAGTCGCATTCAGCAGTCATAGGTGAGAAATGGAAGCAGATAATCCGGAAGGGGCGTGTTGCGCGACCTACTGCATCGATTGGAGCTCCACAAGTACGCAACAGCCAATGACCGCATATTTGATCAGCCATTATAGTAGGATTGGTCTCACTGTCGTGCATATCGTAGCGGTAAAAGGACCCTACAAGGCAACCGATATTTGGATATAAAATTTAGGTCTTGTCTTTGACTAAACTGAGTTAGAATCGGTCAAAAAATATGTCAAATTCGCCGCGCTTGAAAGCAGCACGATTTCGGATGTTTTGAGGCAAAAATGTTTGCTTTCGCCAAAAAAAGATGTCATATTTCTCATAATTTTAAGGAATCCACAAAACAATAATCACCATTTGCAAACGGTGCTCAATGTTTATCATTCCTTTAGACTAAACACGAGTTTACGCCATTGGATTGCCACGACTTGTGTGACAGGTGCTAACAAATAACGGAGCAATACTGTACGCATTGAGATATAGGAGGGAAAATGTATGTTAATGAATAGACTTTAGTTTAATGTTGAGAAATAATTTGAAAATGTCAAATAAAACATCTATACTGTACGCGCCTTTATGGAACGATAGCTGTCAAAATGATATGTCGATCTGCTAATGTGAGCGTAAATAGCGATTTGTTAGTTTGGTTTATAACTGTTAGTTGGTGGACGCTTCCTACTTAATAAGAAAGAAGAACGCCCTGGTTAAGCAATAAAATCCATTGAGCTGGTGTTAGCGTCGATCAGACATTGCCGCTTCTTGCTAAGTTTAGTGATTCAATGCCGGCAATGTGGCGCATACGCGATTCAGTGTATTGCAATGTGGCGATCAAATTGTAAGCGGTAATAGCGCTTAGCATGGTACACTAGAGACGGTGCACAAAAGTCAAGTGGTGTTTATGAGTCCGTACCATTCCACAGCTTCTCATAGTAGTTAGTTTTTGCCTTAGATAAAAGGTCCGCAAATTTGCGCTCCTGCCCCGCGAGAGCTTCCCTCTTCGCGGGATTATGCTCCATCGAAAGGGTGTACGAAACCATTTCCTTGGTTGCGTAAAGCGCTGCAAGCCAAATACCTCCAACATAAGCACTGCAAGGACCAAATTAAGAAAGGATCAAACGAATGCCAATGTCTATCGTCGCAAGCTGTTCAATTTAGAATGAAAAATGAACTTTCTCGGTTGTGTGAAGGAAACATCAAGTGCCCACGTCAGGAGTTGACGGTATAGAAACACAGTTATCAATTGGCAGAATCCCAACAAAAGGCAAAAGGCAAAAAAAATGGCAATAAAGGGTAGTAAATGAAGTCAGGAAAAATTACTAACCCGAGACCAATAGCCTTCCACATGTCATAAGTCTGATCTGGAAAGTCAGCACTCTCAATTATTCCATCTTCGTCCTTATCCCATTTTTCAAGACAGCTTTCCATGATAGCCTTTAAGGAGAAGAAACAAAAGTTTCGTTGTTGCTGAAAGCAAGTCAATGATGACCGAATAATAAGTAAACGTTAAAAAAACAATACGAAGAAACAATAGTAAGGCACTTTCCAACCTTCAATTTGGGTATCAATGTTCCAAGGCAAGACAGTAAGCAAATAGGAATGTACCAAAACTAATGGAAGCATATAGAACAGGTAACTGTCATCAGTGGTAATCTTCCAGTCGCGCCAAACCATAAGCACAAATTTGGGGTTGAGGTCCTTCCACTCATCAGTTGCACGGATGGTATAGGCGTTTACGCGATACCAGGGCTCATCCTCGGGGTCCCCGCAGTCGTGGGGCACCGAAAGAGCGGAATTGAGGATGCGATCTTTGTCACGAGCCACCTTGAAAAATGGCTTCATAGGGGAGCAGTCCTCGCTAGCAGCCATATCAGCCAGATCATAGTTGACTGCTAGCTGGAGCCTAGGCCAGAGTTTGAGCAGAGCCCATGAGGCATAAAAGTGCACGTCGTAGGTGTTGTACAAGCGATACTCATGACCTTGAAGTACAAAAGCATACTTTTAGTCAAAGGGCAACAACCAAGCATGATTTCTTTTTCACAATCTGTGCATACATTAAGGCTGTATATAAGCCTCCTTCGACAGGTTTCTACTCTGGTTTGGTTCAATACCCTCCAGAACGACTTTAAAGGATTGAAATTCAGTTTTAAGCCTCCGTTCAGCATGGGTAAACAAAAATGATCTGTACAAACCAGTGTAGAGGAAAAGAGATGAAGAGTATTGATCTCTGGCAAAGGCAGGAGCGAAAGAAGAATGGGAGAACCACAAACCTTCGAGATAAGCGAAGAGTCCCATTTCATTGCCAACATTGACTCGAGTACGAACCAACTCGATTTCAGCCACGCCAATAGGAGTAATATCCCCCTTAGTGGAGGTATCGGCGACGTAGTGGGTAGGTCGACGGCAATGAACGTTGTGGTTGCGATGGCGCACATTATCCAGCGGGGAGCGCAACTCGTCCACATCACTAGTGACGACATCGCCGTTGCCAGTTGCAGGGCTGTCGCCCCTTGCTATCGCTTCATCTGATTCCTCTCCGGGTAGGATGTCCAACCACACCGTGCCTCCGTCGGAGACGTAGTACAGTTCATTAAAGAGAGCTGACTTGTACCAGGTCGGCAAATGACTACAAAATCGTTGCTGTAAAACTGAACCTAACGAATGCGACAATAGGGATGAGCAGCACACTGTATGATCCTTCCATTAGCCACATGCTCTCTACTTACACAGACGATTTAAGATATCCGCTGAGAAACAATGTCCCCTGTTTTAGTTGATCATCCAAAGGTCATACTTTAAAAGTAAAAATTACCTCTTTAAGACAGTATGAACAATTTGCGAGTTTCTTTACCTCACTTTAGCCGGTAGTACCGTTAAAAATGATTTGGTAGTAGTGCAAAATACACGAGTCACATTTTTCTCACCTATCTTGCAGGATGGGAGCTTGCCAACATTCGATGGCCTCTTCCCAAAGATGCGCTCTCTGTGATGCATAAACGAGCAGCTCGCTCGTCCCTCTAAGGATGTCCTCTGAAAACCAGCGCACATAACGCCTATGGTAAACAAAAACGCGACCACGGCATAAATCATGCAGAATTAGAGCCGCTTTGGTGTTAAGTTCCTTAAATAGTAAACACGTTATAGCCACTCTAACTTTCAGATTTAACGTCTCCAATAACTGATAACATATATATATATGAGGCCTTGAACGCTACTCGTGTGATAGTTTTTGGCGTGAGCAAAATACAATTAGGTAACGATTCATCTTCATGATGACAGGTAAAAAGCACCCAAACATTTAGATGATGGTGAAAAAGGCTTTTCCTAAAAAATTGTCGAAAATGATCAGTTTTGTGAGCTACAAAGCAATAGATTAAGCCATAAATTTGGCTAGCCACTATAACCAGCTGCAGAGGCGTGAAAGGAAAGAACCAGGGTATTGGCGAATGAAAGCTGGGTACGTGGGACTAAGCAATATAACAATAGTGAAGGTTGGTAAGCACGCTGATCAATTCAATCGGTAGCAATACGGTCCAAAGGTAAGCCGAGTCCTGCATCTAACCAAAACACTGATATCATGCTCAAGCCGTACATAAAGTTCCTGAGCTACAGGAGCAAGGTTATAGAAGTATCAGAGGACCCGTGGCTAAATTGAATTGCCAAAATTAATATGTCGTTCTTGCTCATATTCAAGTGTTTAAGTATCTCACAGTCCGACGACAAGATGAAAGAAGAGCAGATGGGTGGATGTTTGCACAGACTTGAAGAGTATTCGCACCTCCTGTAAGCAACCAAGGCTGATCTGAAGTGAACCCGTGGCATGTGCCAAGTGAGGAAAAAGTCACAGTCCTCCTGACCGGGTACAACCTCATCCTCACCGCAAGCAGCCGCAACCACCTTGAATGAGGCACAAACCGCGATGCCAATCAGTGGATGACTCTTGTCACTTCCTTCTACGTAGTAGCCTGAAATAAAGTAGTGAGCAAAGCCCATAAGCAAGGAACAAGAGTTGCGTGTGCGCATTAATGCACTTAGCCAAGCAGCCGTGGTACGCATGCATTTCCGTTGAAAAGAAACAGGCACAAAAGCCTCAGAGGTTACTTTAAAACACGCACCAATGTAGCTTACCAAACGTTCACGGAGAAGAAGTGTGCTTTATTCAAATGTTGCCTATGAATGCATTAAGCTAATAAAAGTACGACAACTACGCATTACTTCTTCCAGCTCATGCACATTACCTCAGAATCCTCTCGGCTTTTTCATCGGATAAACTGAAAGCGATAAAAAGGGCTTCGACGTAACGCTTCCAACGGATATACGGATATACGGCAGACTTGGAGCATCTGTGCGGGAGCGAAACTGTCCATTCAACTTACTAAGGTCCGGAAGGGAAATGTAAGCTTTGCTAGTATAGTTAACATGAAGCGATGTCTAAGATAGTGCGAACTATACTAATCGGATGACAGCTTAGCTATTTTTGAAAAAAAAGGCGACTTACCAGTGTTTTCGAAGGTTAAATGACCTTTCCGGCCCAAATTTGCCCAGAGTTCAGTCGCACTGATGGCATCGTAAGCAGAGGCCATCCTGTGAGTCGTGATGCCCCATGGGGAGCAGTTGAACTGCTCACCGGTCACCTTTTGTTTGCTTCTGCCCATACTTTTGGTCCCAAAACTGAATCCCACACAACGCGAGACCTCCACCTGGAGAATGGAGTAAAATCTACGTGAGTTCAAGCCTAAATGGACAGCTATGAACCAGCACACACTGGAGTTGCGCAATTTGTTCGACGAAATTCGCTAAGTGGAATCGTTCTGCTTGACAGTCAGTTTTTCCCATTTGATTATCTTTTAGAGTCTGTGTACCCTTTTCCTTCACCACAAATTAATCTTTTTGCAATGGTGGTAGTATAAAGAGTGACATCATGCAAATTATAATTTCAACGTTCTAGGTGATTCAACACCAGACAGTGATGAGCGTCGCGATACGATACTCTTCAGGAAAAAGGCGTAAGCGGCAGGTTTAAAAAAGGTATTTCTTGGTCATGCTTCCTTCTTGAATCAGCGATTATGTGATGTTCAGTGAATGCTGTAAAGTATCGGTCAGTGGGGTTATTGCTCAAACGCGCATGCACAACCGCGGAACGCTAATTAGACATGGTGGATGTAAATACGTCTTTCATTTAGAAAAACGACGATACATTTAAAAAATTATGCTTTCGACTAATCAAAGGGCAAAACAAGAGATCAGACCTTGTCGGTTGACTTGGCTGCGAGACCAAAACAGCAGGGCATGTCATCAAGTAAGGTTTCCAGTAAACATCCGGATAGGTGATTGTCCGAGTCATCAAAAGGGAACGTAAATTCGTCATCTTTGTGATTACGTGAGTGCCCAATTTCTGTGCACATGGTGCCCGCTGTCCCCACCTTTGGTGGAAGCGGACGTCTAGGTGCTCTAGGACCCCGCCAAGTCATGGTAATGGATATTTTAACGTCACTTTCAGGATCGAAATTAAGGGCAGTCCAATGAAAGACTCCAACTGGAAGGCAACTATCTTTATAGTTGCTAGGAATAACTGGAGAAACCTGAAATTGTATAGCAGATTATTGTAAGCAAGTCTGTAAGCAGATCACTCATTTCCAAAATTATTTTGTCAGAGGCAAACCTGTTTGCATATTAGCAGGAGTTTCAACTCAGGAAATTCATATACCGTCCATGAGCGTGGATAGAGACCAATGAAGCTACCCACATGCGGTGACATTGATCCCTTCCACGAATGAAGACCTTTCACGTCTTTAGTAGGTTCAGAAGTCGAAAGAACACGATGGTATATGCGAGTTCCGTTTTTCCACAGCGTTAAAATAAACTAAAGCAGGCGTTTTGAAGGCTTACAGGAATATTCGTAACAAAATGACAGCAATTGGAGAAAGGTTAAGACGACCAAGCACTGATGACTACCTGATCAGCCGCACCGAGGTCATAATTGAAACGGCCAGGTATAAGACTTGATCGACAAAATTCGCCTCTATAACCACGACCAATCGTACCGCAACCAATGCCCCCTAATGGGACACCGTAGATAGGTGGTACAGTCAACGGATTAAGCAGATCGATCGGTGGTAAACGCTTTTCCCGGTATTTCCTGGGTATTTGAGCCTCAGTTATGTACCTTAAACAATTCGACATTTGCACAACTCAATCAACATCATTTGGAAATATATTGAAGGTACTTATCTTGAATACACGCCCACTATTACCCATCACCAATGAGGGAAGATTCATATCTATGATCAAAGCTCACAATGCAACAATTGAGAACATAGCAAGCCAAAGAAGTTATCAGAGCGACAGTTCCCAATTATTTGCTTACAGCTCAATGTACGAGAAATCTGCTGCTTAACAAGAATAATTTCATAATAGAGATTGACAGCCAGATATGCAGCAAACAAGCCCTAGTAAAAATAACGAGCCAACTAACAAGTCAACTGCAGAGAAATAATACACAGGCTCAAGTAAACAATGTACCTTAGCATGTCCGAAAACCTGAGCATCAAAATGCCAAAACGGGGTTTGCTGGGGCCCGAATTTTTCGGTAAGCACTCGTTAAATTGTTTCTTCCAACCATAAATAGGAAGTAAGTTATTTTTCTCGGCATATGAAATTGTGAAAACCGACATTAAGACGAGCAACCCGAAACCACAGCTCAAAGAGTATCAGAAGTGGACTGCAAGGCTGTGACTGACAGATTGAAACACTGAAACAAAACTGAGATGTGTTAAAATACAGGATTAAAGCATTCAAGCTGCCAGTAGAAAAATTTTCAGTGCAGCTGTTTTATTTAGTTTATCAAAGTCAATGTGTATTGATTGGGATTGGTTGCAATTGGCAGAGACTGTGAATTTTATCTGCATTATTCAAACTTATAATTGCAGCTGCCGTGCTTTCCTTAATTGACTTTTGAATAATTACCGTTGTAGCATCTTGAGACTTCCTCGTCGGTACAAGAAGTCAGTAAGCTGGATACATATATTCCGAAAGACTACAAGGCAAATGGGCCTGGGCATGGCCCGGACGCCAGGCCGCCTGTACGAGGGCCAGACAACTCCTAAAGTGACCGCCAAACGTCGGGTAGTCACATAAACAAAGCATTACAATCATGCTTTTAGCTGCGTGGGCTGACCTTGGGTTACTCCATAGGCCGAACACTTGCCCCTCACTCGAATGCAAGTGTTTAAACCTGCTTAATGTTACTCTTTAACTAATGGGAAGGCATGAGACATTACAACATTGCTATTGTTGTACTACTATATTTGTGTGGCTGCCTGATGTTTGGCCGTTACTTTAGCTCTTGTACAAGTGGCCTGGCCGTCGGGCCAACCTCTGGCTTAATCTCGGTTCTTCTCCTAGGATATATGTATTCATCCCAACTTATTGCATTCTTTAACCTGGCCCAAGGACGCTACAATCGTGTTTATCTTACTTGAGTGACTTTTCTGAATCCTTTCATCTCCTGGATATTCTGCTTGGCTCCGGGGTGAAGATGAGAGCGGAAGAGGCTCTAAACTATGGCCAACGACTTTTACGCCCCGCACCCGAGTCTTGCATCTCTGCAGGTATCACAATGATGGTAGACTGCCGACTCTGGCCTGAGCTCTGGCTTTATATGTGAATTGTTTTGACAGAGTTTATTTAGCATCCTTTACAGAATGAAAAGTGGTGTAGGTGTGGTTGAGATGGCGTTCTGACATTACTTAGTGAAAGAATCTTCGCGTTTCTCAAGCACGGAATTTGCGTTAAATGATCGCCTTCTCTTGTAAGGGTAATTTAAACACAGTGATGTGTTTTTCAATATTTTTACACATAAGTGTATTACACTGATGTGTTTAACTTAGCAGTGGTATCGTTATGAGACTTCTCATTTGCTAATCTGGAGCAGGAAGTCAGCGCACTTAAGAGAAATAAAGTGGCAGCCAAAATCAGCGACACTTATATAAGCAGTAGAATAAATGAATAAATGCTTATGCATTCTCTACTTCTGGTCGCTGTTCTCGATAAACTTTCCTACCCAACGATTGTTACGAACCCGTTGATGCAAGAGAACATTTACCATCCAGTTTGTCAGTTGATATAGCTGGTCATCTTGGCAACCTTAATAAATCTGGAGCCAATCTTGCCCAAAAACAGGAATCAAGTAGACGGAAACACTTTTACGATACCTTGGACTTGTTAACTGTCTGTAAAAAGTGGGCTCATTCTAACAACCATCATGTTCTTTACTTTTGAGCCAAGTGCAAGCCTAATTTCTTCTCCTTCTCCCTGATTACAGGCAGCCCCGCCTATTGCCTTCTACTATCTAATGTAAAGTGTCTGCATGTTACATTGGTGGAAGCGGAAATTCAACTTGACCTTTTTGCGGCTCCTCTCCTGGTTTTCATTAATTATGACCAACTTCCGCAATAAAAATGAAGAGCATATGAATTGGGCACGAGAGCCCTTCCTTCTCCACAACGACGACTGCGTTTAGCATCTACCGCATTCTTAGGTTTCATGGACGATCTATAATAAAATGAAACGGCACCGTTGTGAACCTCTGAAAAGTTTTGTTATGAATTTGTCTGTATCGTTGAACTCCGTTTAATACGAGACTGTGTTGGATATCTTTTTAAGTATTATAATCATGTTCTCCATTAGTATTTAAATGTCTGCCCTTGGACGCAGTTGATGCTTACGAGAAGCACCCACCTTTGACTTTTGTTCTTCAGGCCGAGTGTAGCTCGAAAGACCGTCGAAGCTGCTGCGAGGATGAAGAGTAGTCCCTCAATCTCATGAAGTCTGATGACTTGAGTAGCTGGATCATGGATAAATGCCCCGCAATACCGAATGCGTTGTGGTGTTTGACATGGGAAATGATCAAGAGGAGGGCTAAGGACGTTGCTAGATAGGAGAAGGAGGCAACGTATTGTCCTGCTTATGGAACTATCTATGTGATCAGCGATCACTTCGGTATGCATCTTACTCAATACGACGTTGTTAGGTTTATATACCAGCTCTCATCCCTAATTAAATGCAAGTAACCAGCCTCTCCTACTGTCGCCCTCTACCTAATGGGAAGTCTATGAAGGTTGCATTGGTTAGTTGTTAATTGTGATTAGAACTAGGTATCGGAATACTAGCCTAAGAGAGATTCGTCATCAGAAATACGGGTTTCAGGAAATTTATGTGTAGAAGTGATTAAGATAATGTTGCTGACGGCATCCTATATGTGTTCATGGTGATAGTAACTTCGATGCGGCGTTTCTTTCAGGTGTCGCTTCAGAGAGGGATCGACGACAGAGGTCAACTAATATTCTGTTATATGTTTACTAGCACAATACCGAGGTCCTTTTGATGACTGGCACAGAATATCAAAAAGAGGTGAGCTAGACAAGAGGAAGCTTTGTAACACCTTTGTCATTAGACAGTCCTTGTAGGTAGAGGTTAATTTGGTCATTTGTATCCTCACTGAAAATAAGCATTTAGCTATGCCTAATGAATTTCGCTACCAAATTGGAAGGCCTTGATGTAATGCTTTGTTTATGTGACTACCTGACGTTTGGCAGTCACTTTAGCATTCGTCTGTCCCCTGTACACGTGGGCTGACCTTCTGACCAAGCTCAGGCTCTATTTGACTCGCCGCCTTTGGAATAAATGTATTCAACCTCACTTATGCCCTCTTCCACCCTATAGAAAGCCACGGGACGCTACACTTGAATAAGTGGTTATTCCTTAAAATTCGACAATGACAAATGTCTTCTCCTACTAAAGGAACTGCCCCAAAGACCATGTCCAAGATTCCATCAAAACATCTATTCTAATAGCTAATGTTGGAAGGCTGCAAATAGAAAAAAAGAGGATTAAAGTTTCACATTTTTTCAATACTTCGTTTGTTAATGGATATCACTTTGCCATTCATAGTTTGGCCTTTGAGCCCAGCCAAAGCTCAATCACTTCATCGCTTCTAAGAGTACGAGTGTTCAGCTCGTCTTAATGCTCTATTTTGTATAACGAGAAAACTCAGAACACTAAAGCTACAGTTTTGTGTATAATATCACTTTGATTTAATTCTACATCTTATGAGTTTAAGGATAGCGGTTTATGATTTTTCATGAATGTTTCGACCGTATTTTCTTTTGATGTACTTTGCTGCACATAGCCTTATAAAACGATTAATAGCTTTTTGTATTATTTTTTATGATCGTTAGTCGTTGTTGTGTATTTATACCACGTGTTCAAAAGTGCAGTTGTTTAAAAAGGTCTGCCGTCAGTAGGCGCGAACACTGACCTCCTATTAGTAACCGTCGAGGAATGGTAGTAGTCGTTCTTGTTTATTGGCTATTTAGGGTGATGAAGAAGTAAAGAAGAGGCGGACTTTTAGGAAATATTTTTATCGGGGAGTTGATCTCGACCAGCTCTTGGATATGAGTGTGTAAGTTCCACGTTCACTTCCTTACTGTTAGTGACCAATTGGCCGAACTGTACTCCGCGCGTGTGCGAAGACGCATACGTCGAGGTCTGGGGACCAGACATAAAGCTCTCCTTCAGAAGTTGCGAAAAAGCAAAAAGAACTGTCCTATAGGGGAGAAGCCAGCTGTTGTCAAAACTCACCTGCGCAACATGGTTGTTTTTCCTGAAATGGTCGGTTCCGTCGTCGGTATATACAATGGCAAGACATTCAATCAGGTGGAGATCCGTCCAGAAATGATTGGTCACTACCTTGGCGAATTCTCAATTACTTACAAACCTGTGAAGCACGGTCGGCCTGGTATTGGTGCTACTCATAGTTCGAGATTCATCCCACTTAAGTGATCCAAATACATGCTTTGCAGTTCTTGGGTAGTTACCATTCTATTCCTTGCCCCCGTTCATATTGTTCGGCACCAACCTGGCTGTAGACCCTCTTAAGGTAGCTTGTGTTGCGGGGTGCTATTATCGCGTGGAAGCAGTCAGTTATGTGGACAACTTGGGCGGCGTCGGACTCTGTCGCATGGTGTGAGGTTCTTATTCCTGGATGGGGTTTTCGAGCTTTCTGGTTTTTGGCGGCTGTTTGTGTGCAGTTGGGTGGTCTCATGCCCCTCGTTGTGGTCACGTGGTCAGTCCGGAAGACGAGTGGGGAGGATGGGTTGTTTGGTTTGCAAACTGCTCAGATTCGCGGTGGTGTCAGCAATCTGATGTCAGGGAAGTGTGGGGGGCGGGCAGGGTCCGTGCTTCGTCATTGCACCTCGACCCCGCAACTTCTGCTGAGCTTTGAATTTCTGGTCGTGCCTCTTCGAGTGGGTTGGGTTATTTGTTTTTGCAGCTACCAATATTAACGTTCTCGCGCACTTCTCTGGGTCAAATAAAAGTGGATCGTGCACTGTTTGCCAAGATTTTCTGAAAAGAGTGCAGACTCCTCTAGGCCATGTTGGAGTTCTGTGCTAGTTGTATAGCATAAAGCCTCAAAAGGTATTGGTTTTTGTTGGTAGCGTCTAAGCGATTCGAAACCCATGGTTAAATTTAACGATTCTATCCACGGGACTATCAAGTTAAAAGCCACTAAGGCTTTGGCCAAGTCCTTGCAATTATTATCAGCAGTTAAGCAAATAAACTGCTATAAATGACTTCTGTTACTTGCTCAAAGGAAACAAATTATACAAACCCTGGAATCCCATCACAACCTGTTACTAATAAATGCTAATGGTAGAAAATAAAAATTTTTAGCTTAAAATTGTGCAAGTTCTTTTAATATAAAATAAAATTAATTGGATCCCAATATAAATAGAACTGCAGGAAATACAATCTGTAGGTTTATTTTAAGGCACCCATTGGCTATGTCAAACCAATCATAGCGGGGTTGTTTGTGTTTGGCGGGTTGTTGTGGGTCCAGCTCTCCTTTCTCAATTGGTAATGCTGGACGTATTTTGCGCGTACGCGCTGTATGGGCTTGCCATGATTCCGATAACTGTATACTTTAATCAGTTCCTCTTTTTTCTGTTCGCCTTTTATGTTTCGTAAGTGAAATTGACATTTTCATCATCAAATCTTGCGCTTTTTTGGTTCTACTTGCACTCATTCACAAGGAATTTACCCCATTCAATGCTGTGGACAATTTTTCATTTTTATCTGCTCCTGTCCTCGTGAATTATGATGCATTAAGGTTATCTGAGTGTAGTTGCTGACTCAGTTTGCAATAGTTATATCATATTTTGAATTTGGAATGGATGTGTAATCCGAAAAGTTCTAGACCTTGTACTTATATCTCAGCACTTTGACGTTAAATTTTTCCTTCCAGGCCTTCCATTACTGTTGACTACAAAATTTTAATCACCTTCGCATTGTAACTGGCGTATATCGTGGCAATTTATCTGTAGACTCTCTATTACTCAAGCATAAAACTCTTGGTTGTTTTGTACTGGCTCTTTAATGTTGAGTGATTTACATCAAGGGTTATTTCTACGCTAAACTAATCCATAATTCTGGTGATGCAACAGTAAACAGTTGGTCTTGGTTTGTTCGAGGTCCTCTAAAGCTGTTCTGTCAATCCAGAACTTTTACTGTACCTGCGGACTTTGTAGCACTTGTGAATCTTTTTGCCACCGTTTTTTTGTTTGGATCCTAGTTTTTGCAAAGTGGTAAAGTTGTAGTACATTAGTACAGTTGGGGTCATTTAAAATTATTGGTACTTGTGAAGTATAACCCTTTCATGGCCTCACTGATTTCTGGAGTCTCGCGTACTGTCAGAAGGCTACGTATAATGATCAGTGTTCTATTCTTTGATTTCAGAATACGAAAGTTTTACAAGAAAAGCAACGAACCTCTTGAATATCTTCCAGGAGTGTCTATTGTTAAGCCACTTATGGGTGTAGATCCGCTTTTATCTGAGAATATTACCAGCCACTTGGAACTTCGGTATCCAAACGTGGGTTTTTATTCCTTCCTACACCTTTCCGGCACTCCTTAATACCAATAATCGAGTGTTTATATATAGATCGATTCTCATGCAAATTTCCAATACGTGGTTTTGTACAAATGGTTACGGTGCTTTTTTTGTAGTTCGAAATCATTTTCTGTGTAGAAGATCCCAATGACCCCGCTGTTGAACTTGTCGAATCGCTATTTCGAAAGTATCCGAATGTTGATGCTCGTCTCATCATAGGTAGGCATGCACAAGTGTACAACATCTGACTTCCTCCAGTCACTTGTAAACGGCTACTTATCGGTCATCTCCTTAAATCTTCACCACAACTTAGGACCTCAGACTGCGTTGGTTTATCGAAAATATTGATACCTCACTAATGCCATAGCATTTGTCTCACAAGTATTCTTGCACGCTTTTTAGGCGGTAACGGGAATATGGTTAATCCAATGGTGAATAACTTCCTCCCTGCGTATGAATCAGCGAAATATGATCTTGTATGGCTAAGCACAAGTCGAATAAAGGGTATGTCCTTTTCGTGATTCTAGAGCGTGTGTTGATCACACTCGCTCTATTCTTGGTCGTCTTAATGTGTATTCTGGGCGGTCTTATAGTGTGGATCGAAAACCGATACAATATATTTTCGCATTTGAGCCGCATTACCATGGTGCCTAATTGACATTGTTTGCTACGTACTTATTTGCGGTCGAGCGTACATCAGTGGTCTTTGTAAACCAATCTCATATGCGCATTGGTTGCTGCTCGCCGTTCAATGAACCTTTTCATGTTCACTTATTTTTTGTTAAATATTCGTCACTGAATTGTGGTCACTGATCCTTAAATCCGTTTACTAGCGAACACTGACATCATGGTTGACATGGTTCGCAAGTCTGAGGATCCTCGCGTAGCCCTTGTTCACCAACTACCCTATTACTCTGACCAACGCGGCTTCATGAACGCCATCGAGAAGGTGAGCATCCACTCTACTGGTTAGTCATACTTTGATTTTTAATGTCCTGCTGGAAATTCAGCGTAGCTAGACTTTTCTTTATCTGGTTTACTAGCAACACTAACTAGAAATCAGCATGTCGGGAGCATTTAAGATTATGCTTTAGTCCAGGTATCCAGCGTACGCGCTCGTTTAGAGTCGAGCTTGAAAGATGCCGTTTTTGCTGCGGCTGTAGGCTACTACCTGTTACCGAGTACAACCAACAAATGTTGTTACTTTTCAGCATCTGATCCATACTTTCCTTTCCTCCTTTTGTTCATTTTATTTGTTGCGACTGTGTCCTTGTTCTTCCATTGTCTGCTCCATGCACCAATCGGAAGAACTTGATACCATGTGGTATGTACACCTGAGACTCTTGAATATACCTCGAAAGATGACATTCAATTACAATCAGTTTTAATTTAAAATAGGTATGCTTTGGCTGCGCCTTGGGACGTAGTGCAATAGCGCTCAACCACATGGGTATGCTCTGCTTCACTGGAATGTCCTACATCGTTCGGAAGTCAATCCTCGATCGGTACGGTGGTTTCGCGCGCTTTGGAAAGTTCCTCGCGGAGGACTATTTTTGTTCCAAGGAGCTGTTCGAAAAGTGAGCGTTTACTTTTATGTGGAGTGTCTACTGTTGAATTTAGCATTGCAGAGTGTGAGGAATCACATAGCACTGGCCTTTATTGCGCCATAGTGAAACAGATTTGACTGAATTTGAAGTTCTCCACGATCTGATTAGCAAATCAGACGCCTCCATTTGCCATGTGATACAAACTTAGTGCCTGCATCTGAGGCGGCTTGCACGTGTCAAATCGTTTCTCAATATCACTAGTTACAAACCTCGTGTCTTCACCCGACTAACTTGAGCCTTCCACTTTGCTCCACAGTCAACATTTCAGTCGTACTAATTTTGCGGTTATGAAGCGCTGTGACTCAAAACAATCCTTAAATTGCGTCACAGTATTGCAACATTATTGCAAGTTTTTTTGCCACATTGTCGTATTGCCAATCAGCCAACTATTGGGTTCAGCATGGCAGTTTAAGTCCAAAACTATGTGATACTGTTATGTGAACCTGAGAACCTCACTAGATGTTGGGGGTGGTGACTATTGTGTAACAATGCTATGCGGCTCTTGATACATGGCTTGCCTTTTCGCATGTAAACTGTTGAACGTAAGTGCAAAGTGTTTGTACATTCAACTCCTCCACGTATTGTGCTCGTCTTTATATGTAAGATTGTCGATCTAATTTTGGTGTTCGTTGCCTTGCAATGCTCCATTGCCTCACGTCAGATGGCGACTCTCTGTGCATATACCACCTAGCAAATTTATAATTTCCCAAGAAATCGATTCTACGTCTGGTAAAGTCCAAATTTAAAACTTGGACATAAGCTCAAAGGGTTGGTGCAAAGCAAAGCATTTTTTACCACAAACTTGCTTAAACGTACATGAGATCTCCCAGCCTGTCCCGATTGTCTGTAAAGTAGTCACCATCATAGTGGACACATCAGTGCCTTGCATTCGGGGCTGCTTTTCTTTGTTGCGAGCATGTTAGGCGAAAGAGCGTCTCTTAAATAGTCTTGGTGTTGGCGACTCAGTCTTTTGAATGAAGGAGAAACTCTCAAAGCTAAGGGCTGCTCAAAAGTTCTTTTCTAACTGTTCAAGTGGCTACAAGATAGTGCTCTCTGCCTACCCCGCACAACAAAATGTGGCCAACGCAAGCATCAGTATCTACATCACGAGGATGGTGCGGTGGCTACGACTGCGCCTCAACATGCTCACTATTGTGGCCGCCTTCTTCGAACCCATGATCGAGTGCGTCAACCTAGGCTTCCTCACTGCTCTCTCCCTAAGGTACTTCTTTGGCATCCCCATGATCACCACTATGGCAGTACATATCTCCCTCTGGATGCTGCTTGATTACTTCCTTCTTCGATTCGTCCAGGTGAGGCTTTACCTCCCTCTGTTAAATTGCAAATCTGTCCGTAAAACGTCCTGATCCTTTTCATTCCCTTCTCGGATTATTTTGTGTGAGGCGTAATCTCGTCTTTATTAACGTTCACACACTTGATTACGTAAAAATTGTTTTATTTTGGTCAACAGTTTTCGAGCTGATGATGGGATTTCACTAACTTGTAGCTCCTTGTTATGCTATCACTTGTGGAAATAGAAACGTTCAAAATCTTTGTTACCTCATACTCATTCCCAGCTTATGGAGTATTACGGTGACGACTAGTACTTTTTGTCACTGAGCCACCTTGTCGTGCAGAATGCGTACTTTTTAAACATTAAGGTTGGCAGCTACATGCTACATTAATTCAAATTTTTTTACGGCTCCTCAACACATTTTGGCTAAGCAACACCATTCTATTCAGATGCTTCTTCGAAATTCCTTGGCGTATTCGGAGTACGTTGGAAATTAGTTTTTGTAAGAAATCTGCAATTCATTACTTGGAACTTGGATCACCATATTTATGATCGACCCTCTGCTGAACCGAAAACCTAATATTTATGATAGTACCAAATTCAACCAGAAAGGGCTCTTGGGATTGTGGTAACTCTCGTGCCCTTTCGTTAACATCCATCGCAGACATTTGCGGCGTTTCAGATGCTGCTGCCGTTATCCTCCTTTCAATGTGAATACCGTTATACTAAAATTGATATGAACAAGACGGTTAACAAATCCACTCACTATACCCTTAGCTGTTGTGATTTCGCTAATCAAGCCACCACACAATCCTTAAGATGATTCTACCTTTGACAGTTATTTTCTTATGCTATTTGGTTTTTGTTCGTTAATCCCGCCTCCACTTTAATGAATTGACGCGTGTGGTGCTCGTTATCCTCGCACTAACCGGGTGGTTGCTGGGACGCAGCTCTAGCGCATACGTCAGTGCTGGTAGCAGTCGTGTCACCCCGTCTCAGTATCGATCGCTGCACAGCTCCGTGCACCGTCAGTCGGTGATGTAACGACACGCAAACCAATGTGCTGGTATCGGGTCTAAAGGCTAATGTCGAATTGATTCCGCCTGATTATTATCACATCAACATTAGTATTTTATATGCTACTCGATTGGTGCGGTCGAAACCATGAATACCCGCAACATTTGGGGCATTGTGTAATGGAATCCGACGCTTAAGCAAAACGAAAGCCATTCCTTTTTTCACTCAAGTAGGAATTTCTAGATGTTTTTAGTACTTGGTTTATGCTGCCTATTACCACGGACCTTACTTGCCTTGTGGATCAGAACAGCGCTTTGCTGCCCTAACTAAAGGGCTAACACTTGTGCTAAAGTCGTCTTTTACTTTGGCGCAGTTGTTGTTTGGCTAGTTCTAATAGAACTGCAAATTTTTTTCTTACATCAGGATTAGCGCCGAACACAATCTTGACTTGTCGGCGTCTCTAACGCCCTCAGTCTCGTTTTGTGTCTTAAGTCTTGTTTATTATTTGTCCTCTACTATTTCGGTTGATAGGGTGGTCCACTCCCCTTCTCCTTTTTGGCCTTCATATTTGCTTGGTGGACACGGGAACTGCTTACATATGTGATCTACGTAAAAGCAGTGTTGCACCCGCGCACTGTGAAGTGGGGTATCAACACGTACCATCTCTCATTGGGTGGACATACAGAACTTCTGCACACCCCAACCGGCAGCGGAGGGAGCACCAAGCGCACAAAATCAGTCGACCTCTCTCCAATCACTTTTCATGAAGCTGCCCCATCCGAGATCGTCCCACCCAAGGCGGTTGCCACTAGCACCACGCCGCAGGAACACATCTGGCGCCATTTCACTCGTAATGGCTACATACGTAGTTCCGCAGATCGTCAGCACCTCACCCTCGTTTCAGACGCTTGACTAGTCCCAATTTCATCCGTCTTTCTGCCCAAACCTTTATATGTACCTGTCAAAAAGTTTTCCACTCTCCTCCGGGTCTAATTTGCACACCTATACGTGTCTCAAAAAAAGCAGGAATCCAACTCCTCGCTGGAACCAATTTGTACAGCTACCTCCAACTCGTTATGTCCGTGTATTACCTTCTCTTAATACCACCAAATTTCCACTACTGCTGGTGCGTGTTCGGGATGATCTTTTGAACTCATATTCTCCTTATCACCTTGTTTCTGCAGGAACTCTACACATATCGTGTCTATGAGCTCGCGTTGTTCCATTGACAGAGGACGGTGATTCTTTCAAGGCTTTACATATCCTTTTCTAGTATTGAAATTGGTCCTTCTATATTTTTGACACCAAACAGCCAGCTGCTAGGGCAGCTCATGATCTAGGACCCCGAAAACTGCCGTACCTATAAATATTGTCAATTGCCTACATTTTATAAATCCTTTGCCAAATTAGATCGTCTGCATAAGCTTGCAATCGCTCAGGCGCTTAACAGACAGACGTAAATCTCATCATAGTCATGCAGACTTTACGATCGGTGACATTTATAATTAGATTTGCGGGACCACACTTAACGGAATTAACACAGCCTTCGTTCACAAATTATTGGTAGTATTGTACTATCTGCATTCGTTAAGTGGTCACCTGGTCCCCAAACAGAATCCACGAAAGGTTCGTTCCATCCTCAAAAAAGTCTACAACGTACTGAATTTCCTTAAAACCTCGGTGTTGAGGTTATCCCCTTTCATTCTATTCCCAGGTAATTCTATTTCAGGTTAAAAACAACGATGCCTGCTTCATCAATACTTCTGAGAATATTTAGATGAACAGAAAATGAGAGCGGGAAGGGGAGTTTGGTTTTTTACCGTATCACCGGATCTGAAGAAAGGAAGCGGTGGGTCTTCTGGGGAGCAGCCACGACGGCGAAGCCACGTGCCCATGCGGGTGCCACTTTTCCGTGAATTCTCCACCGACCATATTCATCGGTGATGTAGTTTTCGAACACCACGTACTCCAGCACGTCCACCGGACTCAACGGGTGACCATAGAGAAGGCGACCAAACCGGTCGTATATTGCAAGTATCTGTAAAGTGTCACACGATTCAGGAGAAGATGGTGATTTTCGCTGGCATGACAAAACAGTCAATTCGATTTCGGATTAGTCAATAAAGTCAACACAAATGTAAAATGTAGTTTTGAAATTCAGCGAATTTCTTGGTAGTACATTAATTATATGCGCGGGCAAAGAAATGACGGCGAGGCTAGCAGGATGTTTTCGTCGGTTCAGTTTTTACAATTACTTAGACTACCCTCATCTACAGAGTCAATTGCACGCAGACCAACCTTAGAAACCCACTAGGCAAAGAACCTGCTGCTTGAATTAAAAATGTAGATTTAAAGTACTTTCCAAGGGAGTTTTTGTAGTGGAAAGATGGAATTGAATGAGATCAACAACCTTGCCTAGCAAAACTGGCCTTCATGTATTTCCTCGATTGTTCAACAATTTCGCAACTTATTACGGTGCTCAATTGGTAACTGACTAAACAGAAACGCATTTCAAATTTGGAGGTATGCGACCGCTTCCGTTGGCTAAAATTTTGATTCAGATAAGAACGGCAGGTCTTAAGAAAATAAAGTTGCCGAACTACTGCTTGAAACCTTATGAGCATAACTGAAATCGGGATAAAATACACACTGGTCCCATAAAAAAATAGCACTTTCGAGCAAAATGATAAATTATGTACTCCTCATGCAATGGCTAGAAGGCATTGCGAAAGGAATTTAAGCAAGTAGCAATAAAAAGGGGAATGACACTCTTGAGACTCAGGCTTGGCTGTTTCTGTTTTAGTAATGCAGTTTATTCAGTTTGCAGAATGGCTCGCTAGACGCGTAGACAGCAGCGATATGAGGATCGGCGACCCACATGGGGGGTTCGACGTCGGGTCGACCAAAGGCCCGATGGATCCGACAATGGTCGGGTGGCATAGGACGGGGAATGTCGATCGGCATATGTTTAGCCCGCTCACACTCAGAGTTGTAATCATAGAGGAAGGCAGGCGAGGAATAGGGGACGGCTAGGGGCCATCTGTAGTTGATGGGCGCACTTGAACAGCTAGCCCAAATGTTATATGGACGAGCTATGTGACGTGGAAACACTCCCACAGCAGGATCAGCCTCCATTGGATGAATTGGGTAGGCGGGAATGTAGCCATCCTCGTAGCGGCCTCTGTGACTGCCTGCCATGGCGGTAGGTTCGCGTCCTTCCGGTGCGCTGTCACTAATTCCAATGCCAGCCCTTAACCTTAATCATGCGACACTTCAAAGTAGGCCATGTGATCTAGTCTATTGATCCGTCTTGCGCAGTGGAACATCAACGGCACGGAACTGATATCGCTCCAATGTTGAGTGAAAAATGCGCTTGACGCAAGAATAAAAATGGTAACTGACACATCGTTCTAAACTCTCGCAAGTTGCCGATGAATTTTATAGCAGTAAAAGATTTGAATCACAGATTTATCAGCGCACCTAAACATGGCCACTTAACCGTCAGAACGCTTCACACATGACAGACCGGGACAGCTCCCACCACCCATCCGAGAACAGTGCTAGCATAGACCCTACTTCTGTGTGAAAAATGTCACTTAAGACTTCCATTTGGGTCAAAAGAATGCCATAAAAGCATATCTTCATGATCAATGTAAAATAGAATTCAATGGTTATGCCTCACCATTAGAGGTTTTAACAAAGCCTTTTTTGAACTCAATCAGAAAGGAGCTCAGATGTGCCAGACGTTGCGGTAAAACTACATTCACGTTGGGGTGAGAGTCTTTTCAAATGCTGTGTAGGATGTGTTTCCTGCCCTAGATTAAAAATTCCGTGGATGCTCCAAGAAGGATAAATGCTCAATAACGCTAAAAATACCGTTGGCACGGTCACTACAATTGTTTCTGGTGGACAACGAAACTAAAACGAGAGAATAAAGTTCCCGCTAGATCACAAACACTAACATTTAAAAACTGTACCATTTATTGATTGACAGGCAGTCTGCGATTTATTTTACGTAAGAAACTATTCATAGGCTATCAGCTCTTACCTGAATTAAGCCAATAAAATTTACGGCATGCACCACAAGGGCAAGGCGGCACTCAACTCTCAAAAATTGAGACCAAAGTTAACTAAAAAAATTTAATTGACCACCAAAACTCAAATAATTAGGCGCATATCAAAGGATGGAAGAAGAAAATGCAAGGGGCACAGGTTAGTAATTGCATGATCTTTCGCGCTTTCCTTGAGACGGAATTAATTTCGGACGCAGTTTGCAGCACCCGTGACATCCGCCAATCGCAATACGAGTACAATCAAGGTACCAAGGGGCTGAGCCCGGACGCTCGTTCCGCAAGTGACAGCAGATAAGGTTCCTACCACACGTGTACCACTGGTGCTTTCGGCCTGATGGGACAGGTACGTCATCACTCTGAGCTTTTTTGGCCCTGCAAACGTCTGGCTCATCATCAAGAAAGGAGGGGATACAATCTTCAATTGCATTTGCAGCACTCGTTCCAACGATTATGTCACCGTACGTATTTTGAGGAAACAACAAAGTCTGAGAAGTGGAGAGATCGGTTAGACGTAAATCGGAAATTGCATCACAATCTGCACTATTTCTCCAAACTTGACATGCGGTTGGCCTAGGACAGACATTAGGATCTTGTGAAGTCGACTTTTCTATCTGATCCAATTCGGAAATACCTGGGATGACTTTATCACTTCCGATATTGTAACAGGTCGCATTCGATAACACTGGCTTACTTGCTAAATTTGACAGTTGAAATGTGAAAGGCTCCGATAGACTTTCAAAAAGACTACATAGCGGGTCATCGACCTTCCCATTTTGAGGTATCGACGACGTTGTTGGATCTAAGGGTCTGCTATCGGTGGGAAGAATCTGTGACGTTGATACACACAACACACCATTGCTGTGAGGAGCTTTGGCATTTTCCATGTACTCCTGCTTCGCTTGTGACAAACCTATCATTTCCATGAGTCCTCTTTTAGTAATAGGAAGCTGCGAGATTGATCGGTCTATCAGGTTTAGATTGGAAGGACCGAGAACGGCATCGTCGACTTTCGCTAGGGGCGTCATTTTCGGATCAGTCTGATTATTAACACCAGCGAGATTTGTCGAAAGATTACAAGCCCCAAGGTTCCTTATAAACGGTTTCATCGGAGGAGACGAAACACCTGAACTGCAAGGGAGAGCGGGGATGGGAGAACCAATCGATGAAATTTCGGTTTCAAAACTGAGACACGGAACGACTCTGGCTTTAGATATTACAAACGAAGAAATCGGGTCATTTTCACTTAAATGAAATACCAATTCAACATGCCTACAGGAGGCAATAGATTGTCTCGGAATACGTGTTTTTTTTGCAAACTCCAATCTGATTGTTGTGCAGGATCCTGTCAACAAGCATACTCTAACTCAAGATATATCAATGCGTATTCAAACAGGCACCCAATCGATCGGCTACGGGCAGCGATCACATGACAAGGCTAGGCATGTCGAGGTCGACAGCCAGTCGAAATCCTTGACAAACAGTGTACATAATCTTTGACGTTAAGGGTGCACCAACCTTTAAACATCATCACTTAGTATAGAAAAGCATTTTCTCCCATGCATTCAAAGAGAACATTTGTACAAAAAATTTGGGTTCTGGATCCTCGAACATTCCCGAGCCACATAACTCCCAGATCTTACCTAACAGGTAGACATCATTGAAAGCTTTAAGGCGTTGGCAATTTAAGTGCTGTTGTTGGTCGGTCCGGGACGTTAAATAAGGGCCCAAATACTTACAACGCCATCAAAATGACCGTGAAAGCATAAGGAAAAGGTTTCACCAGGAAACCGTCCTGAGAAAAATCACGGATTCTCAGCTAATTTGCCTATATCAACTGTGGGAGCATAAAATTTGGTTTAATTAATAAGATTGTCGAGACAGTGATGGTGCCTTTCACCGCTAATACATGGACAAAGGGAAGACAGGGATAACGAGAACAAAATGGGCGGGCGTGACCTACCTGTTGGGTGTGAAACCGGACGGTGACTTGACCAAACATGTTACCCTTGCCCATAGCCTCCTCAGTTCGACAACTGACCACCCGCGGGGGCTCCAGACTACCAGCAAATTCCCAATGCAGAGTCCGGAGTTTCAGACCTTCTGTCATCTCCTACAAAGGTAATGCACATGAGTAATCTTAAAGGGATGCTGACTGTTCCAACGACATTTTAAGGGAATCGATAGCCTATGGGGAAGTCATATGGCAGTAGAGTTTCGCTATACATAATTAATCGTAACAGAACATTAAAGGTCCTGTAATGCGAGACAAGCGCTTGACTTTGTTAAAACATAGAACTTGCTCAGAAAAAAACGTTTTTTTCAGTTAACGCGCATAAAAGAAATGGGAAAGGAGACTGAAACCTTTTATGACTTGATAATCGACTCTGAGTTTCAAAACGATCAACATTATTTCATGACGTCTACAATTCCAGAACCAGGAGCTAAATAGAGGAATGACAAACTTTTTAAGGACAGTGCTACCTAATTATCGGCCTGCCACTTTGAGAACAGAGCATTCTGAAAGAGTTTGACGAAGTGAAATGGCAGAGGAGAACTCATTCACACACCAAGGTTAAAACTGTGATGGACAGAGGTGAAGGTTGTTCAAAGAGCACATTCTATACTAGGTTGTTTAAGGCGTCAATATTGCATGAGTTGGAAAGTAGGAAGTTATTAGGTGGAATAGTCACCTCTCTACTCTATTATAATAAAAAGTCACACTTCAAAACAATTTTGGGTGTACTATAATTGTTGATAAATACTCGCCAATTTACTGAAAATGTGCTCCACCGAAGACGAAATAGAAATGACAATTCGGCTAGTTCAGATCCCATCACTAGGAAAGACCCTTTAGTGATACTGATAAAAGGTGATCATAAGTTTCACTTTACATCGCAGGAGGCATATACCTGCCGCAGGAAATGTCAGCTTATCCAATGCACAAATCACGCGCACAGTATGGTGTAGAGGTGAACAGATGTATACTTACCACAAATGCCCTTTCCGTTGTAAGCTCGAGAATCCGCTCTTGATTGTCATAAAATCTAATAAGATAAAACCAGACGAGTAAATGCTAAAAGCTCAATAGCACTCAAAACATTAAAAACTCAAACAATTACAGCTATCATACGCAGCGCTGATATCAGAAATCCGCTAATGTGGTACTGAAAACGTTCAAATACCGCACTTTGATAACCAAACACCTGGACTGGTGGAAGGATTTGAGGAAGTTTTGGCGAATCTTGCCCTACAGGGAGCGTTATTTATAACAAACCTGAATTAGATATCAGATGGGAGCTGATACACATATGAGCAGGATTTGAAAATGTTTCATGCAACAGAGTGCTATTTCACACGCCACTTAGACCGTAGTTACATTTGCAAAGACATATCAAATTCAGGAAATTCACAGAAAAAAATGTGCCCGAAATACCTGGGGAGAAGAGTGTGCACCTCTTTATATATTGCATCTGCTTCTAGCGCGAAGCTGGATGTGCTGAACATTGGTTTGTGTTTCCTTATACGGAGAGCTGCTCGTGTAGTTTTGACTTTCTTCAACACTGAATCCTTCGCATCTGCTATCACCTAAGAGCAATTGCGTAAGGTATCGGAATGCACAATACTCCAGTAGAAAGAGGAGAAGATTTTCCATCACCTTCTGGCGGGATATATTCATCAAAAATACGACCTGAGAAGACAAATAATTACCAAACCCGCTCTACTGAGGTATGCCAGCAAAAATCACTTCAAAAAACTTACCAGAATGAGTCAGATTAATGGGATGTTCTTGAAACAGGATAGGAGGCATTAGACCGTTTCGGCGTAAGTGTTCACGGATTTCTGACGAAGTAGCACGTTCAGTCCCACTCTTCCCACCAATTGAAATGAGATCGGGGTCGAAGGGTTGGACCCATGGTTGCATCTGACGGATAAGGCGAAATTTCGGAATCCATGGTTTGTGTCGAATGAAGCGCACAGATGTGTGCAAAATCTGAAGTACATCGAGGAGAACCATGTGGGCTGCTGAAGATAATCAAAATAGATATGCTCAGTTTTACTTTGTATGAACAATTAATGCCCTATTGGGTAGAGACTACGTTCTCACCCTAGAAATGTAGAGCGTAGAGACCGAGACTGAATTATGGTTCAATCAACAGCATGTCAAAATCTTAGGTGATAAGTGAGAAAACAGGAGCAAACGTGAAACAAATGAACGAGATTTACAACTAGCTCTTTCCTTTAAGAACCGGCCCTAAGAAAAATCTCCAATCCTATGCCACAACGGATAATGACAACCTTTAGACATCGTTTAACAGATAATTACAATAATAGCCCATAAACAACGCGTAACATTTTCAAATAATGGATTGTTCAAAATGCGGCCCGATAAACGTGGCGTTCTGCCATATAAAAACAGTCCCAGAAGAAAATTATTCAGGCGACTATCTAAAAGTAATTCAATGTTAAATGACTCGAAAAATTTCCAAGCAGCAGCACGACTAATGAATGAACGAATCAATGCGAGCACAAGCAATGGTCCGAGTTCAGAAAGGCATAGCAATCCAAGACATCCAGTGAAATTGAGTTATGTGAGAAAGAGAGTGACAGTGATTAAATAAAACTATGGGATTCTAAAACTATTTATAATAAAAAGCCGTGCTTAAAACGGGATTACCACAAGGAGTTTCTCGGAGTGATAAACACGAGGGAAATGCGTAGATTACACATACAAAATTGAGCACAATAAAGAGAGCAAAACGGTGCAACTGATCAATTCCAGAACCACAGGCTCCATGCTGGAAATGACTGCTGGAATTACACTAAAACGTGCACAATCGAAAAATAGTCTAATCAAAAAGGCCACATCCGAAGGGTCAGCCTTAACGCACCTGGAGGTGAGTTTCACATTGGGCGGTACTACAAAAATGAAATGAGCAAAACTTGTACGGCACAAACTCAGGTTTTGAGAAGATCAATAAAGCATCCAAGACAAGAAGAATAGCACCGACTGATTAACAATGACTTGCTACACGTTCCAGGTGCATAGGCAAATTGGGTAATAACATGTTCAGAGCACGAAGTTACAGGATACTTCATGTGCAATCCTTTTCTAGACAGGACACTTATAGATTTGAGAGGAACATGATCAATTTGGTTATGCGTTTGCTCACTCTTCACGCAATGTTAAACAATCTCAACTGCCTGTGGTGATGCATAGTTTTTGTAAAAGTATCCCCCAACGAAGCAGATGGTTCGTTAGACATCTGTCCAGAAGGATTTCGCTAATTTAGTACAGCTGTGATCGCAGGGGCGAAAGTTCTGAAGGATAAACTTATACCCTTTCGGCTGTTGAAGCTAAAATCTACATCACGAGAAGAACTGAAACTACTTTCCACACTCTTAGAACCATTATTTATATTTATTCTATTCTATCCCGCCTAAGATTCGACACAGTTATTACTTGTGCAACGTTCTTAAAAATCCTAGTCGTTTTAATGCCTTTGCAAAAGTTGGATGGGAGTTTGACCCATTTAAACACAAGACTCGTTCTTCGCTTGCTTACTAATAGCATCTGAAGATGGAGGATCAAGATCTTACTAGCAATGAGAATCTCGATAGAGCGTCCCCAGAACTTTGGCCTGATCAAAGTACGATGTTCTCACATTTACTGCCCCCACAGGTGTTTCGGAATTCATAACAACAAGGCAGCCCGACCTGAGTATCCAGACGCCATCGAAGTATAGGACGGACTTGGATAAGGAAGACTTGGAGTTGATACATGGTATGTGAGGTATTCGCGACCATTCTTGAGATTTTGGGAGCTTGTCAACGCAGCAGCTAATGGATAAAATCAAGCACCTACAAAATTTGGCCTATCAAGTAGGACTAGAAGAGTGTATGTGCGCTGCTTCATAGCTAACATCATTTAGCTAAGGAAATGGCCCGCGGCAAATTCTTAAACATTTTGGGAAAACGCTGAACGTGAAACCTGTACACTACATCACTCTTTGAAATATAATCTAATTTGCGTCGACTTGCTCTCACGCATATTACAAACCACCTCTACGCTTTACTGACTTGCCGCTCTATATATGAGCTTATGTGTTCGCATAACCTAAATGGTACATGTTATAGGTGGATGGACTGTGGTCTCGCTAAGGATGTCAAAGATCTTCTTACATCCTTCCGGTCATTTCGATGTATGATCATCACGAAAATATCAGGCTTAACCGACAATGATGACTCGATGAAAGATATAAAGCATTCAAACGCCGACCTAACTGAGAAGCATATCGACAACATGATGGCCCTTAACTGCGGTCAAGTAAGGTCTGTTTAATTATGGGCGCTCAGTTTTAGGCTATGCGACTGGTAGTTGTCCGCGGAGAAGAAAAACTTCCTGTGATAATTCCAGAGGGTGGCAAGGTCCACGACGTCTTTTCTGCTGTGGCGAATGCGATTGATGAGAAGCTTCGTAAGGAAAAAGAAGAATACAAAACGCTTGTCTCGCGGCTTGATAAGCGCAACGCGGTAGCAATAGCGAGAGCCTTCTCCTCTAATCCGCCACCCGGTCGTCTGAATTGGCGACGATTCTGGAGGACGCACTGCCTTACCTCGAACGAAGTAACATTGGCGAATCGGGATATTCCGCTAAATAAAATTCCTGGATTGGGAAACGGTGTCATGCTTCGCTTCGTTCGACGAAATAGGAAGAAGAAATGACTGCACATGGAAACTTTTATTGTCCTACACGGGTCGTTTCTGCTTCCAGAATGCACGGACGTCGTCATGGCCAGCCTTAGATACGACCATGACTCGGCGCTCCGGACATTCCCACAATAAGCATCCATTACTCTAAAACAACCAAGCTGTACAATAAATAACTGTTCTCATTTTCATAAAATCTCGCTTCTTGACTAAGCAGCAATTAATTTACCTTTGCAAAATCGCGGACCATCTCAAAATCTGTGTTTTTGGCAAAGTGCTCATATAGACAGCCCTCCTGAAAGAAGAGTCGTTCCCTTTCAAGCTCCCAGAGGCGAATTTGATCGACCAGTGTTGGTGGTAAGATTGTCGACTGCGAGACAAAGGTTGAGATTGTCAATCAACGGATAATTATTGATGCCTAGCATCAAACAGGTGTTTCCAATAATGTAGCCATTCCTACCTGCCTCCGCATATCCGGGTGAGCGTTAGAGATGAGGAAGGATATGATCTACAACAGAAGACTAGTTCTTCTTTAGTCCGATTTTAAATATTGTGATCGTAGCTGATTACAATCAAGCCTTAGTGCTCTGTATATTGATCGCGATGGTCAGGTTTAGGATAACTTAATACCTTTTGGAAGATTTGACTGCATGAAAGAGATATGAAAATCGGATCAAATCAAATCAATCAAAGAATGAGACAAACCTGGTTGGCACTGATTCCCCTTAACAAGGCCTCTCGAACGGAGTCTCGGGTAATGTCAGCTACCACCAAGTTAGGGTAGCGCACGCGGATTTTGCTAAAGAGGCTCAGGAGAGCCGTTTTGAGGCGCGAATCTAGAGTAAAGAAGTCAGTCATCTGCACTAGTAGTAGTTTCAACAGACAGCTGATAGGCCTATTTCTACGTATTTTTGACTCTCACAGCCTTGACGGGGAAGGGTAGGACATTTGACACGACGATCCATCGCTAAAAGTAGACTTCAGCCGATGCTATTCTAGGGGCGGGCTCTGGTGCTCAAGAGGTTGCATAAAAGCAAAAAGGCCCAAAGAGAATGCCTACCAGTGTAGGCGTAAAGTCGGAAGTTCGTCTCAACGAGTATATAGCCTACATCCGATGCATCTCCGACACCAATCCCACCACCTCTGGAGCCACGATGGCTGACTCCCGTAGGAAGACGATTAGCGGAGAAAAGAGCATCAGGCTCTGCATCAACAGAACCACGCAAGGAGTTCAGAGCTGCTGGTGAACCAAGAGCCAGGCTGAGTGCTAGTCGCGTCACATAGAATCGGGGAGCCGTGCGTTTGCGCTGGTAGGCTAAACCGAGCTCTCGCATGTGTTGTAACAGATCCTGCTGCGTCTGTGACAGCATACTGATAGGATAACTCTATTAGAGACAGCAATAATTCCAGATATAATGACGTGCCTTGCCAAATGAGAGGAAACTCAGCTGGAAAACGAAGTGAAGCGCCTCGATTATATGCATGTGATTTTCCTACAAACAGGGTAAAGTATGTGTAAAGAGGTACTTTGAGATAATCGAAATAATATAGCATGAATCGAAGAACTTGTGTAGGCCTATCCATGAGGAGGAACTGAAATCCTCTTTGTGTGATGCCCATCGAAATGTCAGGGCCTCCTCTAGTGGAATATGATACCAAGCATATACTATACCTTTTCATCATTCCAGAGAGCAGGAGCACATCTCTAACACAGGTGCCAACCTCGGCTGAGTCTGACCCGACCATGAAGTGCAAGATTGACTAATGTCAGGATGAAAAAAGCTGCTAACTTACATCCCATCTCTCCGACGCATAGTTGTCCAAAAATTCTGGATCCTTCGGATGTTTTTCCGCTGCAGTGGAACCGAAGTCACTTAATAACTGAGGCCCACTAAGAATTTAAAAAAGAATACCATTTACCCGCCAAAGAGAGATACTTTCAATGATTCCTGGAATTTTTTGTTAAGCCTCCAGGACCCCCTCGCACTGTCGCTATCAATGCTGTGCCAGATACACAAATCGGACAAATCTTTACAAGCTCGATTCAACAGACCATGAGAGGCTTTTGGAACCCAACCCGTAATTATTGATTTTGGTATGGTTTGTTCGAGAAAGAGCAACCGATGAACAATCTGTTTCGCCAGTTCCTCAAGCTCTCTAGAAGGCCGAGTTTCATAAATTACTGTCTAACCTAAATACGATAAGACAGGTTGGAGGATGACCATACAATTTATCAAAGTCGTTGACATCTAGAGTTTTCAGATAGTCAAAAATACAAGCTGCAGAGTCGACCGCCTTCCTGGCACACATTAACGCTAAAGTAACTAGATGATTTGTAGTTGGCTCCAAAACCCACAATGACAGCAATTTTTCCTAAATTATGCGGAGTTGTCTAATGATCTTTATGCTTCTCGTAAGTATATGGGATTTTTTAATCACTGCTATTTGTGAAAATAATTAGTCCCTAAATCTAATTACGTAGCTCCCTATTATGTAGACCGCCACACCCAGGGTTGGTTTATCCAGGTGAACATTAATTTGGCGTGAAAATATTACTCTACGCGGACCTTCGATTTTTTAATCGATCCCCATAACTTCAACTATGCAGCCTGTCATTATTAGCTAGTCGATTTTCTCTGGTTATAGTCAATCACCCAAAGATTCACGTTTTTCATTACGATAGCATCAGTGATAATGCTCTTACATTTCATATCGCATGGGTACCTTAGGTAATACTTTAGGCGCCTCTTTATCTCTGCAAATATGTTGTTTATGGTCGGTGGAAAAGTTTTAAATGTAGAAAAGTTCGTTTGATGTCGACGATTGCAGTCTTCAGTGCAACCCATTCGTTTTAAGTGCCTTACGTGTGTAGTTCAAAGCTGGCCTTGATGTATTATTACAGCTTTTAATTACATGTGCCATTTTTAGGTACATTATATCCCTTTCTTCTGTCCACAATCATGTCGGAGTTGCTGAATCTCGTCGAGTTCTTAAAGTAAGTTAGTTGGTTTCACTTGAACCTTTTGCAGTGAGAGTTTGACTAGCCCTGATAGTTCTTTACAAAAAAATGGTTTCAAGCAGCTTAATGAAGGTATCCGCTCACGACCAGCAAAGTACTTCACGGAGACAGAAGGTAATCGTAGAAATTCTCTCATGTCAATTTCGAAAGTGTTTTACATAGTGGAGTTCTATGTCTCGCGATTGGTATTACCTAGCGCTGACTTGGTTGGTATTATCCTTGAGGGTATTCTTTGGTTCGCTCGAAAACAGCTGCTTAGTGCTGATTGTGCTGTAAAAATTTGCAGTGAAGGATTATTTTCGAGTCTTCACATAGGAAGCCTCCGGAAGAGCGAGCGTCTTATTGCCTATCATCTTCTCTTTGAACTTCTCTCTTATGATCGTACACGAAGTGGCCTTGTCTCGATGAAATCGGAATTTGTTCAGGGTTTCATTGTCTCAACGGAAGGAGAAAAAGACCCCGAGTGTCTCATGTCGGTGTTTACCATGCATCCTCTTGTCCTACAACATTTCGATCTTGGACACCTGGCCGAGGAACACTTTGATTGCATGGCTGCCTACTTCCCTGTTAAATACACGCCTGTAAGGAATTTTAGTTGGTTTATTTCGCATCATTCTAAGAGTTTTTTAGCGTAGAAGCATTTTATGTACAGAGGATCGAAGGTACAGCCTTAGTATCTTTAGCGTTTTGGCCATAATTTGGTTTTGGTCTAACCTTGTGCACTGAGGTCACATCGAGAGTAGAGCGGTTCGGTCCTCATCATTCACATTTACTGCCTCCAGGATCTTCGTTCTCTATTTCCAGCGCAGTAGTAATTTCAAGTACTCTGTTTTTGAGCTACATTTTGGTGTTCACTTCCAGCTACTTTTTGTAAACTCTTGCAATAAATAGGCCATTTTTCTTTTAAATTAAATATGCAGCCACCTGGTAATTCCGCATTGATAAGTCGAGCACAGTTGGCGGAGCATCTAAGTGCTTGTCTCTTTGCTGCGCGACGCGTTGATGGAAGTCTTTTAATACCAATGCTCCTGGAGAAGGCCTCCTCGCGGCAAACAGACGCGCGCTCCGATGCACTAGCTCTTCTTGCGGATTGTTTAGCCGGTATACCCCACGCAGCTTCTTTCTTCAGCGAATTTCTTCTTGTTCTTCCACCACAACAACGAGATCCCATTTCCGCTGCCCATGTCACCGCTTACATTTTCTCACTCTGCAACTTGCTCGGCCAGTTGGTAACTAATTCCTTTGCTATCCACTTCCTCTCTGTGATTTTTTTGTGCATCAGATCATCAAAGCTTCGTTGCATTTGGCATTGAATTCAACTTTCAAGTGATCTAGACTTTTCGCGACTCACCGAAATCCTTCATTATGTGTACTGTCATCACCCAGCATGTTAAATCTTTCGAAGATGAATTCTACATCTGCATTTAATTTTAAGACCCCTAATTTCTCCTTTTAGGCAACTGACTTAGATGCGTCATGCGATGCAGAAGACGTTAATCAAATGTTTTCCATCGTTGCTGCGTTGGCATTCATGTACAGAGGCAGGGTTTGTAACGTTCTCGTATTTCATCATAACTTTTCGTTCTGCCTTGTCGAAAGCCATGTTTGGGTGTGCGAGAATCAGGGCTTAACTAAGCGTCTCTCTGTCCACTTTTAGCCGGAAGAGGTGGACTTCGTAGAGACTTTGTTGAAGTGTCTGTGGCCAGAAAAGCGAGATATGGGGTCAACAGATACTGATGGATGGTTCAGCGTGGCTGTGGTCAATGCACAGGTTGCGCCTCAAGACTTGGTGGCTGACTGTCTGCTTACAGGGGTTCTTGCAAGTCCCGATGGTCCCCTACTTGCTCGCCTCTTCCACCGTCTTGCTGCACCTCTCCTCCGGCCCAAAGTCGACCTGTTACCCACCGATGACTGTTTCTATCAGATCAAATTTGAAGAGGTGTGCCTCTGTCTCGCGTATTTTGTCTGTGCGTCTTCTGGTGGCAATAGTTAGTTGTTTTTTGCAGATCGTCAAATGGACACCTCACATCTTATTTCTAAATCGTGTCCTGTCTCACTTCTCGCGGCACAAACGTCTATCTTTGGAAGGTACGGTACACTTTTACTTTGACGCAACCCAACTACTGTGGTTGTGTTTTCTCGCCATTATCTTTAGAACCTACGAATTTATATCCATTTAACGAGATTATTCTCTGTTCTCTGAACACTTACGTCCTCACTTTGCTTTTTGGTGGAATAATTTGGACGTACGGTCCAAATCAAACTTTGCACGGCAATATTTTGATTTACCGCACCACAAGCTTATGGCTCCCCGCCAGTTGAACTAGCGGTGTTGCCTTCGTGCCTTGCACTTTGAGCCTAATAGTTGCTATTTCCATTTACGTACCCATGCATACTTATCATAGTCAGATGTTAGTGTAGATATACCCTTCTCTTGGGCGCGACGTCTTGACACGCCATCCTCCTTCGGTTCTGACACAAACTTGTTTTATCTCGTTTTTGCTTGCAGGCATTCAAGCAAAAGAGGAAGATGTACGCGCTATTGTATTCAACCTCTCGCACACCCTAAAGCGGTCCTGCTCCGACCTTCGAATGTGTGATGATGACAGTCAAAGTCTGACTGAAATCGCCGCCTTCAGTCTTCTATGTAGATTGCTACCACTCCTCAGGAGTGACGATGAGGTTCAAAAGGCGTTCTTAGCATTTTGTCCGCATGTTCTTGAGCATATGGTGTTTGCTAAGCGGATGGAAACGCCTCACTACACTCTGAGGTAATTGAAGTGCTCCATCTTTTCTCATCATCATCTTTGTTTTCAATGGAACGGCAGGTTAACGCACAGATCTATTTGTATTTCACAAGCACTAATTTCTGGAGGCATTGCAAGGTTGTATGTAGGCTGCATGTCCGGACGCTTTATTTTTAACTGGCTATACCTCAACTTTCGTGCAATGTTATTGTACCAACCAGAGCTCTTGGCAATGTTTAACCTTCTGGGAATTGTTAATGGCATTTCAAAGTCTCGCATACATTCCCTTTCGCATAATGGTTAACTTTTTTTTGTAATTGGAATGCCGGTGTTCTAGACTGGAGCAACAGTGTTTGTTGGCCAAACTTGTATCTCACTTTTCGTTGGCAAAGGATGACCTGCTGCTTCTTCTCTTTAAGTTGCTTCAAGGTAAGGTTTTTTCCGCATTCTCTGAATTTATTCCTTAGCTATCCAATTTTTCGAGATCTGAAATTGCTTGTTTTTTTTTTCCTGTTCTTTTGGTTATTGTAGCTAAGGTGCTAATTAAGCACCCAAATGTGTATTTTGTTTTTGTTGTTGCAGGTGCTTCATCTGTTGAACTTGAGAGCGTTGCCATAGAGGTACTCCAACGAGCCTCCTGCGACAGTAGTACCATTCTTGATAATCTCGTCACACTTCTTTATCAACGTTGTTCAGATGCAATCAGTCTCACTCCCGGTTCGCATTTATGCCTATCACGTTCAAAATAGCTATGCTTAAAACGTATAAGTAGCCGTGACATTTTACTTGTTTTAGTCCTCCAAATGACCTCTGCAATCCTCTACATAGCAACATCGCTTCGAACGAAGGACGAGAACAATTTGCTTCCATTTTTGGCATCCATTCTGCAGCATCGTGGAAATGAAATTCTTAATGTGGCTGAGCGATTGATATGGGAGCTGCCTAGGGAGGAAGCCAAGTCCTGCTTACTAGATTTGCTTTCAACTTTTCGCTTGGTTGCTTCGGGTCTTTCAGAAGTGTGCGCTTTCCGTTTTTTAATTGCTATTTGAACAAGGGTAAAATAAGTAATAACCTATGCTCCATTATACAGTTCATGTCAACTAGTTGACCCTAAAGTTTGTGGTATTTGCGTTTAGCTCCTTACTCATGAGTACCAGAATAAAGTTCTTACGCTGAATGCTGCTATTCATATATGCCTAATTTACGTCGGTTACCATAAGCCCTGAGTGTTCAGCCATGTTTAAATTTGAGGAACCTGAGGCCAGGCGTTTACATTCAGGTCCAACTGTTGCAGCCTGGAATGCCTGGTTAGCGTCCTGTTGCTCCTTTTCATCGTTGTACCAATTCAGGAGTTCAAACCACTTGCCCTCGTGTCGTATACAGATCATGAGCCAACATTCACGTCATTCTTATGAACCAGTTTGATTATTAAGTATTTTACCTTAATGAATTCCTGTAGCTCTTCTGGAACTGATTGTTTAAAGGAATAAAGTGACTGTTGTTGTCCCCAGTTGGTGCACCATTTTGCAGTGCTATATGGTGTCAAAGTGGGTACTTGACTAAAGTCGTTACAAATAGAAGCTGTATTAGTGCATTCATAAACTCCTATGTGATTGTCGCCTTAATGACCTTTGACTTCAACGATTTCATTTGTGACTTTATCGCAAAACCATAAATGCTACCTCGAAATAATGAGAACTTCTCTCATGTTTCTTGTCTATCGTAAGATATTATCAGCTGTATCATTCAATCCCTCTGTAGGCATCAGATTGGAATCTTGACCGCCTTCATGGAATTCGGAAGGAAGCGTCAGGTTTGTCTCTTTTGTCACTTGAAAAAGTGGTGCTTTGATAACCGATGCGAACACTTCTGCTGTAGCCTTCTACTTCGTACGTTGCTATTCTTCTGGAATGTGCGATTATTTCAACTCTTCACCCGACTGTAAGTGTCTTATTGCCTTACTATTCGATGTCCAGTTTTCTCCCATTACTTTGTTTTTCATTTCCAGCTTCCAGGAGTGCTACTACGCACAATTATCGACTCGTTGTACAGTTATTTCACTGCTTGTATTTTCAACCTTCGTTCTGGCGACTCCACTCTCCGGAGTATTGTCTTTAACGAATTGTGTTTGTGTTCTGCCACATTGATCAATAAATATCCTGGCAATGGTAAGATCAAGTGTTGTTTTGTCCATAATTGGCTCAATACTACCCAATTATCGCCAATTCTAGCCATGAACTAGTATAAACATAAGAAATGGTTCAAAAGTACACAATGAGTTTATAACTTTGTAGGTGGTTCGTCTTTCCATGATTTTCAACTTTTCTTTCGTTCATTACTTTACCTCTTGTGATCGCCTAAACATCCAAAATGGTCACGCTTTAATGTTTTTCAGCGTTTTTCTTGTTAAGTCGCAATAATCCGTTCTACCATTGAGTCATCATTTGAGACGGAATCATTTTTGTGTGGATTTGAATGGTGGGATCTTAACTGCATCTTTACCGAGTCTCACGTTCTGTAATTCCGCTTTGCCCGTATTTTCTATTCAGATGTGCCAGGAATTCTTACGAAGATCTTCAACTTGCTATTGTCGCATATGGAAACAGCAGGAGACAGTTCCTCTCCTGTTCTGATCGCGCGTTTTGTGGTGCTTGTGTTGCGGGGTCTTCTTGTCTCTCAGCTTACCGTTACCGCTACGGCTCGACAACGGTTATTGAAGCGCCTCCTTGACGTCCTCTTATCAACTAATGCGTCGGATGCGGAGCAGAACCTTCAACGGACTTGTCTTCTTCGTTCGCTCCATCTCCTCTTGCCTCTCTCTGAGTCTGCATGTGTTGGCACTGGGCTGGAGATCGAGGTTGAGTCGGAGCCCCTTTTTTTAAACGAGGAGATCTGTCACTGTCTAGTTAATCCGCTGGCCGTTCAGAAGAGCTTTTGTCTTGTTGCTCTCCGCCTTCGTACCGCTTGGCAAACACTGAGGGAGCTTTGTGAATTGTCCTCTAGTCAGGTCTCCCTGGCAGGTGCATCATCTTTTTTCTGCCTACATTGTAGCTATGCAGCACTCAGCGCAAACTTGCGCGCTGTCCCTATTTATTGAGCTTTATAATGTTACTTCCACATGTTTTACGCTTTTCTAACTGACATCATGTATTTTGTTGTGTTGTGCGAGTCACATTTTTATCACTTAGGCAATTCAACTCAATGTGTTTCCGTTAAGTACTCAGACTTTCTGGTAGTTTGAATAGTTGGAGAGAATGCATGGTGCCTTTTGTACACTTGCCTTATCCTAGAAACGGAAATTTTATTATTAATTTGCGTTCAACCTCTAGTATTGTGTTTTGATTGGTCTAAAATGATAAACGTTTCAAATTGTTGCATTCTGTAAGAATGCAAAAAGTGGTTAAAATATTTGCCAATATCCTCTCTCATCATATTATCGCTGTTTAATTTCCATACCGTCTCACCTTTACCTCCTATGAACGTCTTGTTATCTACTCATTTTTGACAAAATCTTATTATCAAAGCCCTTTGTTGCAGTTTTTTGGCATATAGTTGGGTACATGTTCGCGCCTTTCACGACGCGCCCACCGCTATTTGTCGATAAAAATAGGCGGCAGACATTTCACTCGTCAAGCCCTGTGTTTTCTTAAAACGTCATCTGGGCAGAGGTGGTGAAGAAGTTCTAGACAAATAATTGCTTGATTTGTAGCGTTTCTTGGTCCTACGGCAACGCTGGTCTGAACAAGTAGTGCTCGCCCATCTTCTTGGCCATATTTTGGATGTTTATGTTCGTATTGCTTATATTTGCATCCCATCGACCGATTAAGTTGCTTTTTAGCATTACTAGATTAAGTAGTTACTTAACCAGGAATGTTTTAACTCCTGAAAATTTCAGTCCTTTTAATACATAAGTGTACCTCGCCTCCTCGATCTAACAGGTAAAATGCATTTGTGCGATTTGAGCGTCTCAAATGTCAATAGTATGTTTTATTCCTTATCAACAGGTTGTAGTTTTAATCTGTTTTCAAGAGCACAGGTTAAGCTTATAGGCACTTGTTTTTGGTCTATATAAAGCCATTTTCGTCTCTTGAAGGTGCTCATTTCATACTATAAGATCCAGTCTTATGAGATCGTAACCACGGTGTTACCAGCCCTTGACACGTTTTAGTACTCCAATTTCCCAAATGTTGTTTTCAGCCTTAGCGGCAGGTTGCTCAATTCTTATCGCCCCATCTATCCTAATTTCCACTGACTTTGGCTACCTTTTAGATGCGCTTTTTTGCTAGTGAGCGAATCTCAAAGGAAAATGGAACGAGATGTTAGTATGCAAATTACCCGCATACCCTCATTTTTTTGAAATTGGGTGTGTTGACCCAATCATTCTTAATCCATTTAGGGGTGTTGAAACTTTAATTGAAGAGTTTAGCACAGCATTGAGGCTTCTGTTTGAAGTGAGAAATTTAATACTGAGATACTCTGAAGTCGTCTATGGAAGCGATACTTTCTTGTGTCATCGCCTATCCAACCTGATATAGATCTTGTACATTTCATTTACGTCGAACCGAGGTCATGGGTTTCAATCCCTATAAGCGTGTTAGTAAAATGGAGTACCAAATTGTTACAAGTTACTACTTTCATTTGCTTGTATTATTCCAATATCATATTGCGAGCAGCGAAGTCTCACATCGGCGAACGTCGGCAATAAATTCTTTTTAAGGTTGCTAACTTATGTCTGTGGATTCACTCAGATTTTGTGATGATTTTGACTTGGTTCCTCGCTTGCATTTCCGTTACTTCCTTCATGTGCTTTTGACACCTGCCACTTTGCAAGAGTTTATGCATGAGTCCGCATCTGTTGAAAATCTCACACGCTTTCTCTTTGCTTGCTTTATTTTCTTTTATCATACTATGTAACCGTTTCGCATATTCCCATTTTACCCTCTTGAAAGCAACAGCACTGTTTTTTCTGTGAAATCGCGATGTTTGCACTTTTACGACCTTGAAAGTAATAGAAATTTTTTGC